TTTCCAGAATTCTGTTTTATTTGTTATTCTTGTGGCCTGGAGAGAATGTTATTTCACTTAGAACTCCCTCCTGTTCCTTTTCCATTCATCGCAGAAATGGGAATCAAGGCCCTGACCGTTCTCTGAAGATCACAAGGAGGATAAACTTGCTTGCCCCTCTCCTTTGGGCAGCATCCCAAGGGCCACGGCCCCTTGATGCCCCTTAATCTTGGCATCAACAAGCCCAAAGTCTCTTGTGTGGCATTGAAGGAACTACAGACCACAGAGGGTGGAGAGCAGGCTTCTCCTCGAGTCAGTGCAAGAGCATTAAGACTTGGCTGTACCTTTACCCCATCCTACCAGGTCTGATACCCTTGCTCCTCTGGGAGGATTTCCTGAAGAGAAATTTACAGTGCGTCTTTCATTCTTAATCCTGGGAAATGGTTTTGTTTGGTGATGGCCATTGACCATGACTGCAGGGGGACTTTCAGAGTGAGTGAGTGTTTGCATATACATTGGAATTAGAAAGAACTTCCAGGTTCAGCCTCCTCCATCAGTTAGGTAAAGAACTTTGATCTGTGCCACACACGGGATCAGTTCACCCAAATCAACCCACTCCTAATAATGGGAACAAAAGTTGATCACCCTATAGCTTCCCTGCTCTTAGTGTGGCCATGAGACTGGTGTATTCAAAACTCCCATTTAGTGCCACCTGGGTGACTCAGTCAGTTAAGCTTTTGACTCTTGATTTCGGCTCAGGTCGTGATCTCATGGTTTGTGAGTTTGAGCCCCACATTGGGCTCTGAACTGGCAGTACAGAGCCTGCTCGGGAATCTCTGTCTCCCTCTCCCTCTGCCCCTCCTCTGCTAACAAAAAATCTCTCTCTCTCAAAAATAAATAAACATTAAAAAGAAAAAAAACCACCAAACAAAAAACCCTCCAAAATTCCGTTCAAAACTCCCACACGTACTTCTCCACGCTCTTTTCCCCTTCCACTATCTGGGACTGTCACTCCCCAGCAAGACCCTGGGAGCCATGGGCTGGAGGAAGAGTGACTGTCAGCCAGGATCCTTTCATGACAAAGTAGAAGAGAGACACCCTACCTACCCCCTGTCCCTGCTGCAAGTGTGGCTATTAAACTGCCTTACTGGAACTGGGAGATCTTGCTGTTAAATATTTTATGTGTGCCTTAGTTTACTCATCTGTAAAACAGGAACGAAATTTTTTACTTCACAAGGTTTTTAAACAAGTAATATGAGCGCTAATGAATGATGGCCACCCATTGTAGTGCCTGGCACGTAACAGATGCTCACAAAATCCTTGTTGAATACGTATCTTCATTCCTGGAGGATTGTTGTGATATTTCAATGAAATTGTCATTTTGGAAACAGAGAGATCAAGATGGAAAAGCTAGTTGATGGAAATGAAAAAATGATACTTCAGCCCCTTCCTCCCTCTGTTTTAAGAAGCTTGGACAATCTGAGGAACTAGTCATTTGTCCAGGGGAATGGAGTAGCCTATTGTAGGTATCATGGAATCCGTAATACAGGAGGATGACATCTGTTTAATTTCAAGCCCCTTTTTAGTGTCTTCCCTAACCAAAGGACAAGAATTTATAGTCTCTGGGATTGATGTTTAATTGAAGCAGCAGGCTAGGGGCACCTGGGTGGCTCAGTCGGTTGAGCGTCCAACTTTGACTCAGGTCATGATCTCACAGCTCGTGAGTTCGAGCCCTGCGTCGGGCTCTGTGCTGACGGCTCAGAGCCTGGAGCCTGCTTCGGATTCTGTGTCTCCCTCTCTCTCTGACCCTTCCCCACTTGCACTCTGTCTCTCTCTCAAATAAATAAACATTTAAAAAAATGAAGCAGCAGGTTTATGTTTTTTTAAACATAAAAAAATGACAGGATCATAAACAGGATCAAAAATTCCTTGTACAGATTTTTATGGATTTTTTTCTTTCTCTTTGAAATATAACATCTTTCCTTCAGAGGACTTAGACATCGTTAAAGAGTAACCTCAGGGATCAGACAGACCTAGATTTGAATCCTGGGTAAATTAGTTAATATTCAGATTATCTGTTCCCTCGCTGTAAAATTGGGGTTAAGTATGCACCTCATAGAGATGTCCTGTTGCCAAAGGGATTGCACATAAATTTGCCTGGCTCCTTCCTTTCCTTTGTCTTGCGAAGGTGCATCTTGCTAAGTCCCTCGGCTGGTTTGTGAAGCCGCACTCGGTGGTGACCAGGAATATCCACATCATATAAAGTTACTGCAGAGGACTCAGGGGGGTCGTGAGACTGCCCAGCCTGCAAAAGTCTAGGTTATGCCTGCAGAGTAAAGATCACAAAGTTCTGAGAAAGCTATTTTTAAATGGCTTCCTGCTGAAAGACCAGCTTTCTGGAAAGGTTTATTTCCGGCCCATTGTAGCTTTCCACCTGATCTCCTACAATCCTTCTGGTATTTATCCCCATCTGCTGGTACAATATGAGAGACACTCCTTTCTCAGAGGCAGTCGGCTGTTGATAGCCTTTTTGCTCAAGCACCACGCAGGGGCTCAGGCCAGCACTGAGATCTGGGAGGAGAAAGAGGAAGTTTCTGGAACAGAAGAGAAACAGGGCTTCTTATTAAAGAAGGGGAATGTTATTTTTAGTCTCGGCATGAGTTGCTTTTAGTTGTTCCTCTGGGGAGTCAGCTTCTCTTTAAAGTGACTCTCTGGTATGGGAGCTGTCAGGTTAGAGACCTGGAGAATGTAACACTCCACACAGAGAACTTAAAATATCCACCGTTATTTTACTCGTGAACCTGCTATTTGCTCAGGGCTCCGCTGACCAGCTTGTCTCTACTTGAGCAGCACGGGCTAAGGCAGCTTGAAGGTTAGACGGATGTGACGAATGGCTGGTGACTGGAATCGTCTCGAGGCTTCCTTCCCTGATGCATCTGCTGGTTGGTGCTGGCACTGGCTGTGAGCTCAAGTGAAAGCCATTGGCTGAACACCTACATGTGGCTTCTCCATGTGGCCACTTGGCTCCCTCAGAGCATGCTGACTGGGTTCCAAGAGGGGGCCTGGGCAGAAGCTGCATTGCATTTTCCTACCTAACCTCGGAAGTCACTTAGCATCACTTCTACCCTTATCGTAGGCCTCCATTGACAGGGAAGGAGTGTAGGCCCCTCCCCTTGGAGGAGTGTCAGCATCCACAACGTAAGACAGGAGACCTGTGTTGGCCTGTGGAGAATGACTGTCTGCCACAGAGAGGAACGGGTGGAGGAATGGAGGCATGGGCTTGTTGGAAAAGTAAGGAGAGCAAGCTACTTTTTCTTTTACTTTCAAGTACAACTTTCAAACACTGGAAGAATGGATTGGAGCATGTGGAGAAATAACAATGTAAGAGAAAACAGAAGTAGAATTGAAAAAATATATTTTTATTTGGGACACATGGTGACACGAAGAACCCAAACTGGTTTTACACCAGACAACAAAGTCTTGCTTAGAAAGGCCTCCTCTATTTCAAGATTATTCATCCGTGATTTCTAGTATTTCTGTGGTTTAACTTTTGATATATTTGGAAATCATTTTGATGAAAGGAGGGAACTCAGAGTTCAGATTGACTTCTTCCAAGTGATTAACCAGTTGGAACATACACTTACTGATTAACCATCTTTTCCTTACTGATTTGAAATTTATCACATCCTAACTTCCTATTTTGGGGTCTACTTCTGGACTCCATTATTTTAATCTACTTTCATATCCTACACTCAGATAATTCTGCAACCCGTGAGCTCTGGACCTAGACAGATCTAAATTCAGAAGCAGCTTAGCCACTGCCTACTTGAATTCTTGGGCCTCAATTTGCTTCTGTGTAAGTTGGGGATAATTGTATATATCTGACTGGGTCATTTTCAAGATTGCATGACTTCATGTGTTGTGCAAAAGCGGAGACCATTAGCTCCCAGCCCCGTGCAGGTTGGGCTCTCTGGAAGCCGGCTCTGAGATGGAGCTTCATGAGGGGGATGTTTATTTGGGGGTGCCCTAAGATCAACGCCTGTGGCTGGGCAGGGGAGGAGGCAGTAACTGGGCAGGGGGAAGACCTGTGTTGTGACGCGGACCCAAGCACCAGCCCAGCCAGCGAGAAGGGGCTCGAGCACAGACAGCCCTTCAATACTGTCCTGGGCCGACCAGCATTTGTAGGCCGCATCAATCAGTGTTACTGGGGGCCATCAGCGAAACGAGTGTGACCTGGGTGAGGTGGCTCTCTGAGGCTGAAGCAACCCCCAAAGGAACTGACAGGTGGAAGCCTTTTGCTAAGTGTGTTCCCAGCGGCCGGGTGGACGTGTCCTTTGGTAAAGAGGCTTTCTTGGTTGCCTGTCACAGAGTTCACCACAGCCCCTCACTCAAATGCTCATTTCTCCTCTCCCTTATTTCCAAGTCTCTGAGTGATGAACAGTTCGGCAGAGATTCACGCTGGAAGGCTGCCTGTCCCGAGCCCTCTGGCAGGCGGCTGAAGCACTTTACGCATCACAGAGGCACTGGGAACGCACCGAGGTGTGAGGAGGAATGATTTTGCACGAGGTGGAGTAAGGTGAGGCGATACAGCCTAAATGAAACGAGCCAAGCAAGGATTCGACAAACCCAGAGCTTTCATCTCATCTTAAAACACTTCTCTTTTGATCATTTATTTTCGTTGTTCATTTCTGGGTCAAAAACTGGACTCTGAAGGGGAATGTGAATGTGATAACCAGGCTGTGGAACGATCCCGTGATTACAGGGAATCATCTCAGAAAAGTATTTCTGGAGATCAAACAAGATGAGGTCATCAATTTGCTTTTCTTTTTATTATAAAAGTAAAATAAAAAATAGCATTTATAAATCCAACATTTTTTCCTTTAAAGTATTTGATCTAAAAAACATATTTACAATAGCAAAATGCAGAAAAGGGGGAAAATACCATTTTCAGCACTGATTGTAACCATGTTTAAATATTGACATGTACAGGTTCTTTTTTTCAAATCACATAGATAACCACATTAGAAAAAGCGGTAAGCCTTTTTTATTATACACCGTGTGACTCTCATTTAAAAATATTCCTTTTCCTAATCCTTAATCTGAGTGCACGCCTGTGCTGTGGACGGCCAGAAATAACACCAGGTGGACACTGGGACACCTTTTAATGACAGTGGGAGCGCAGCAAGGGGACAGCAGCAGTGACCATGGAAAGCAGCCGGTAAAGCTCAATAAGCTAATTCGCCCACAAGGAGGCGCCAGCCCGGCTCGCCGTGACCGCTGGAGCAGCTGGAAGTGGACCGGACTAACATTCATGTGAGAACCAAGAAAGGAAGCCACCTTCAAAAGGCCTTGAATTAAATTCCGAGTGATTCAGGCAGGCTGGTTTTCCTCTGAGCACCTCTGGATGCCCTTCGCCTCCTTCTTTTGGACAGTGCGGTGGAATTTCAGAGCTTTGGTTTTACATGGTGCGGGGCGCTGCCAGCAGGCTAGATTTTGCCTTCTATAGGTCCTTCCCGCCCGTACTCACGGGGCACTTTGTTAAGAGTCAGCAAGGAGCCGCCGCCGGTCAGAGACTCTGTAAAGCTGAGTTTGCGGAAGGAGGTCTCCACGCCGCTGTCACAGATGCTGTCGTCCCGGACCTCGTCTGGGGGAAGAAGCACAGATTCACTGGGGTGCGGCTGGGCAAAGGCAGAGCCTTAGCTCTCGTACACCTTCCATTCTGGCCGGCCTCGGGGTCTGGATCTACAAGGCTCGTGGGCTGCTTCTGCCTATCGGGTTCCCCAAGTCACCGCGCCTCCCCGCCCGCCCGCGCTGCCTGCTTGTCGCTACTGTGCACCGTGAGGGGAGGAGGGAGAACCTTGAGAATATAAAAACTGTGAAGACATCAAAATTAGTCAAATGCTTTCACATCTCTTTTTTACCATCATGTTTATCAGAATCCTTTCTGAGTTCTCCTAACTCACAGTGTACTTTTTTTTTTCTTAGAAATCAGGTGTATTTTTCCAACCACCATATTACCTATTTTATAGCTGGGAAAATTGTTGAACCCTGGCAAAATAAATGGGTGACAGAAGCAGGAGGTGGAGATGAGACATCTCTCCGGGGCTTCACGTGCTAGTGAACGCTGTATGTTGCGTCCAAAACATTCTGGTAGCAAAGAAAATAAGGTGATTATGATGAAAATGAGTCTGTACTGAACAATAGGTCAAATCCTCCTTGTTGAGAAGTGTCTTTAGAGATCTGAACAGCGTTGAGTTATTCCCCATAGAGAGGAAGTGATCAAAGAAACACAAGTCTAATATACACAAATCAAAATGATACCTTCTTGTATATTCAATTCCAATATTAAAATATTAAGACCTTAATGGCATCGACACGGCTATTGTCTTCTAATTGACTTGTTGAGTTATCCAATGAGCCAGTCTTTACTGGGTTTCTTTTAAATTTTTAAAAAATGTTTATTTATTTTTGAGAGACAGAGAGACAGAGCATGAGTGGGGGAGAAGCAGAAAGAGAGGGAGACACAGAATCCGAAGCAGGCTCCAGGCTCTGAGCTGTCAGCACAGAGCCCAACGCAGGGCTCAAACCTGCGAACTGCGAGATCGTGAACTGAGCCGAAGTCGGACGCTTAACCGACTGAGCCACCAGGCACCCCTCTTTATTGGGTTTCTATTATGTGCCAGTTAGTACAAGGTATTTTAAAAATAACTACAAGTCAGAAATCAAATAAAATTTCAAAAATATAAGTATTTTCTGGGTGCTGGGTGGCTCAGTCAGTCGGTAAGCATCTGACTTTGGCTCAGGTCATGATCTCACCGTTTGTGAGTTTGAGTCCCACAGCAGGTGAGATCAAACCCCGCTTAGGATGAGCATGAGCCCCACTCAGGGTGAGACCCACTTCTCTCTCTGTCTGCCCCTCGTGGGATTCTCTCTCCCTCTCTCCCTCCTCCATTCTCCCTCATTCACTGTGCCCTGTCTCTCAAAAAATAAAATAAAATAAATAAAATAAAATAAAATAAAATAAAATGAAATGAAATAAAATAAAATAAAATAAAAAAGATATAAGTATTTTCCTGTTTCTTTGTGTAAAAGGAGCATCAGGTCAGGATATAGGAGATGTGGATTATTTTCCTGGTAGTCACATTATTCCTTTCTAAAGTACATAACATCTGTCCTTACTCTCCTAGGAGGGGCCCTGATAAGTGACACTTGTGCTGAAACTGAAAGGCAAGAAGGAACCACCAGGTGAGGATCTTTGTAGGGAAGGGAAAGAGAAGGTTCAGGTCTTAAGACTGGCTCAGACCTGTGAGCAGAACAGTTGCGGGTGGGGGGCCCCGGGTGGTGGGGCAGGAGGAAGGGCATATGAAAGCATTTACAAGAGAGAATGGACAAAGGGACACTGCCTTTATTTATTTATTTAAATATGTTTATTTATTTTTGAGAGACAGAGCACAAGCTGGGGAGGGGCAGAGAGAGGGAGACAGAGAATGTGAATGAGGCTCCAGGCTCTGAGCTGTCAGAGCCCGATGTGGGGCTTGAACCCATGAGCTGTGAGCGGAAGTCGGCTGCTTAACTAACTGAGCCACCCAGGTCTCCAGGGGCACTGCCTTTATTACTTACTGCTCTATCTTCAAAGCCTTATACTGGGCTAGGCACTCAGGATGCACTCAATAAAGATTTGGTGAATGGATGAATGAACTGGAAGGTATAAAACGGGAGTGACATAAAAGCAACTAATTTTTATTTTTTTCCTTTTTTTAAAAAACTATTTTGCGAGAGAGGGAATGGGAGCGAGCGAGTGGGGAAGGGACAGAGAGAGAGAGAGAGAGAGAGAGAGAGAGTGGGAGTGAATCCTAAGCACAGAGATTGATGCGGGGCTTGATGACCTGAGCAGAGCTCAAGAGTTGGACACTCAACCACCTGAACCACCCAGGTGCCTCTCGCCTTTTTTTAATAGCACTAATTTTTAAAAAGAATCTCACTATCTGTTGTGTTGAGAGTGGACTGAAGGGAGGGGGACAGCCTGGAAGCAGGGAGACCGATGAAGAGCCGCTAGAGGAAGTGGGGCAAAAAATGAGGGCGGGTGGACAAGGGTGGTTGTCTCAGAGCAAGGACTGGGCTGTGTGTGAGGTGGTTTCTAGCAGCAAGTGTCCGTGGGCAAAGTCTCAGATTTTTGTCTAAACCTGGAGGATGGCAGTGCTTCTGCCTGACATGGCCAACTGTTCATCTTTCAAAGATGAGCAAATTCTAGTTGCTGCTATGTTCTCAGTGGCGTGTGAGCCGAGGACACTGGATGAGTCAGGAGAGGGAAGGGGGGTGGGGGGTCCAGACAGAAAGTGCGGAGTGGTTGCTGAGAGAGGGCAAGAACCCATTTACAGGGAAATAAAGGGTTATTGGGCTGTGCTGGGAGTCTGTTATGTTATGTGTTTCAGATGAGTGACGGAGGGGTGGGTAAGGGTCAGTGCTGTGGGTTGGGAGGAGGCGAAGAGAGAAGGTGAAGCCATTGCAGGGGTGGAGGCGAGGAGCTAGGGTGCTGTGGTGGGAACTGGGGCCAGTCCTGGCTCTATAAGCCTTGCTCTGTATGTTTCTCTCTCTCTTTTTTAAAGTTGTGTTTTTTGTTTTTTTTTTTTTTTGAGAGAGATAGAGCAGGGGAGGGGCAGAGAGAGAGAGAGAGAGAGAGAGAGAGAGAGAATCCTAAGCAGACTTTGCACTGCCAGCGCACAGCCCAGCATGGGGCTCGATCCCACAAACTGTGAGATGATGACCTGAGCTGAAATCAAGAGTCGGACACTTAACCGACTGAGCCACCCAGGTGCCCTCTCTCTTTTTTAATTTTAAGAAGTGAGAGAAACACTATTTGCCTTAACCAGCCACATCATGTTGTTTTTAATATTTATTAGGAACTGAAGTGACTCACAGATTAATGTGACTGTTCCTGGGGACAGCCCCCCACCTGACCGGTAGCAGCAGGAGAGGGGCAGAGGGCAGAACCTGTGAGCTGCAGGGGGGAAGACAGACACACTGGACCATGTACTCAGGGAACGATGGCAGGGAGGACAGCCATATCCCAAGACACTGAAGACACAGTCTGGGGAGCAGAGATGATCTCAGCTGTCCTGTTGTTTCCTTACCTACTGGTGACCTTGTGGAGGCAGGTGAGAGGGGCAGTGAGAGGGTCTTCCCTGGGCTGGGGGCTGCAGTTCCCGCGGTGCAGAAGGCGGCCTGGATCACTTCGATTGCTTCGGTATAGCCCATCTGTCTCAGGGCCTCCACCAGCTCTTTAATTGTCCCCCCAGAGACCTGTGAGGAAGACAGGAAGAGTGTGTCCCGGTGCCAGGAGCAAGTGGGCAGGCTGTCAGCATGACACGCACCACCCCCCTTAACCCCCGAGAGAGCCTGGCGGCACTGGAGGGGTCAGAGGGAAGAGCGGAGAAGGAGACACACGGTCGTCGAGTGGAGTTTCCTGTTTCAGCTCAGAGACCACTCAGGAAATCACAGAGAAGTGGCTTCCAGTAAGCGCAGGGGACAGAGAGGGAGAGAAGTGCTGAGGCAGTGAAACTCTACCTGCAGCGAAGGTCACGCCGTATCCCTGTTTGGGCTGAAGCTCTGAAAACCACCGAGAAACAAGAGCTGACAAGGAAATCTTCAGTAGAAAATAATTTCACCTCACAGAACCCTTCCCCTCACAGAAAGCTGACTCCATGTCCTGCCACAGGATGAAGGCATGTTCTTGGGGCCAGGAAGATAACGCACATGAATCACAGTCTGTCAGGTTTGTTCGGCGGGGGGAGGGTCAAAGTTCCCTCTAAGTAGGATTTTTGCAGGAAGTCGCAAGGTATTTGAAAATAGGGAACACCTGAAGGTATCTGAAAGCTGTCTTCTTACAAAAGCGGGTTTCCACCCTGGCCTGGGTCACCCTCCCAGGATATGAGCCATGAGTGACTGATTTTCCTCCTCAGAGTTAAGGGAGGGGGGAGGGAATCAGGCCCAAGTCAGCGATGTTAACAGAGGAGGGTCCAATAAAAATGTGAGGTGATGTGTTACCTCGTAGTTGTCCATAAGAGTTTTAGAAGGAGCGGGACTCAGCCGGAAGGCATTATTTAGTATCCCCAGGCCTAACTTCTGTGCCAGGGTAGCCCAGTTTTTGTCTGGATCAGGGATTTCTAGCAACTTGTAGAGCTGCAACTTGGCATCTTCAGTCAGCTGTTTCATGTCTCCTGAAGGAATGAAGAAGAAACACGGCTGTCCTAAGCGACCAGAGTCACTCTGGAGGGACTGACCATGGCCACACGGCTGCCCTCTAATGCCCAGTGGGAGCAGTGAAGCTCCTCTCCTCGCAGTTGGCAGAAGCCCTGCTGAGTAGCAGCATTATACGCGTTTTGGTAGATTACGGCTGGATATTCCCCCTTGCATACGTCCAGGATCTTCTGATTCTGAAACAAGCCACTGTGCCTTTCACAGTCTAGCCTGGATAATGCTGGCTCTCCCTCACCCCTTTAAATGACAGTGTGGAGAGGACACTGGTTAAGTGCTCACCTTGTGCGAGTAAATCATCGGATGTAAACTCTGGCTCATATGGTTTCCCATTTAATATATCGAACACCTGTTGGGAAGAAAATCATGGAAAAACATTACACATTAAAGGCGCCAGGAGGGGAATCAGTTTCTTTATGATCGAGGACTGCGTCCTCCTTAGGAGGGCCTAGTACCCCAAAGGTGGAGGAATGGGAAGGAGTCAACACCTTGACCCACGAAGTCATGACAATGCCCTTTGGGGAAAGAAAAGTCCTGGGGGCTCTGGGGCCAGGAGGCTGTGCTCTACAGGGGCCTCTGAGGTGGCTATGAAGACCCAAACCAACCTTGCAGAGAGCCAGGGCCACAGTCCTTCTGAGGGACGGACACCGTCCAGGCCACCAAATCAGCCATGTGTTGGGACGTGATGTCTCCCTGGGAGCCAGGGTGAGGGCTGAGCTTACTCAGAGCTGTGAAGCTGTGCCTCTTTGCTGCCCCCCCCCCCCCCCCCGCCCTCATAAAAGCCTTATGAGAATGAGTTTAGTAAACTTGCTCAAACAGGTATGGTAACGCTCACAAGGCCTGATGTTCTCTTTCCAGCACCATCTACATTTTAAATTGAGGGGACACAAAGGTCTCAGGCTAAAAGGGAAAATAAATTCCATAGCTACGGAGACCCTTCTGTGTTCTCTGCAGTCACTTTGGGCGTGCTGACTTAGGTAAGGACAACATGGGGTCACTGAAGTGGCTTATCTTTCTGTGTTCTGTGGTGAGGCTTCTGGGAAAGCCAGGTGCTCAGCATAAAAGGGGAACCGTGTGGTCTCTGCCAGGGTCAGTCAACTCAACACCACGGGCCGCGAAGAGGCCAACAAGCAGTTTTTGGATGTGGAGCAGCGCTTGCCCCTAAGAAAGTCGATTTTGTTGTGTTGGAGATCAACACAGGTTGGAGGGCCAGCTTCCCTCTGGCTCTTCTTCCTGGGCCGTAAAGACCTACCAACTGTTTGCACCTTGCAGATTTCAGGTCACTAGAGTTTGGAGGAAGAGATGAAGTCTATTTACTATGTTTATATTTATTAAAGTCCTCAGAAGACTCCCCGGGTTCTTTTTATGTAAAGGAATCACTTACCATAGTTCTAAGACAACTGGAACATCTATCCTAGCTTCAGAAATGCAGCTGGGAACAATTCTGGTGTGAGCTCAGAACGGGAAACTCTTACGTGAGTTGTGTGTTTTCTCCTGCAGAACCCTCTCTCACAACTGAACCCTGATCTGATTAGGCATATGCTTTTACACTCATAACTCTCCTGACCTAGATCTTTCATGGATAGGCTTTTCAAGATAAATATGTCTCTTGACAAGCAGACTTTCTTAAAAATAAAAGGCATGTGCTTTGGGGAATAAAGACCCAGGAAGACCATCTGTTCTTATATTCCTGAATCATTAGCTCCCTCTGGAGCTGCCATCAAATAGCCTGGAGCCACACTCACCTGCCAGTTGGTGGCCATATCTAGAGGTGTGGTTCCAGGCACGACTCCTTCATCCTCTCCATCTTTTTCCCAAGAGTCATCCAGGTCATAGAGAGGCTCAAAGTTCTCCACGAGGGGATCTGCGCCTGTGAAGTCAAGTTACACAGCATTAGGCAAACCCAGATCTTGTTGACTCTGAACTGCTTGCAGAGCTCAGGTTTCCAAAGGCAAAACACAATAGCTCCTAGAGGCAATTACACCTGGATAATTTTTATTTTTCCATTTTATTTTTAAAATACATTTTTGGGGGGGTGCGGCAGAGAGAGAGAGAGAGAGAGAGACAGAATCCAAAGCAGGGTCCAGGCTCTGAGCTGTCAGCACAGAGCCTGACATGGGGCTCAAACTCACGAGCCACGAGATCATGACCTGAGCTGAAGTTGGACACTTAACCAACTGCGCCACCCAGGCGCCCCCACCTGGATAATTTTTAATACATAAAACATGTTTCTACAGAAATATTCAGAGAGCTTCTTTTAAATTCTAATTTATTTTGACTGTAAATATGTCTGATGATACCCTATATAGCCACGGACATTTTCAACAACAAAAGACGTGGAGTACCCTGACCCTCACATTTAAGTCTCTAGGACGGTTTTCAACCGAAAGATGCACCTTTCATCTGAGGGGTAATGGCAGCAGTTTACAGGGACTGGGGTGCGCCCTCAGCATTAAGGTCCTAATTTTCTGTTTAGGTTTGTGCCCACCACTGTACACTCTTCACTCCATTCTCCCACTTGCTCAATAGAACAAAGAAACTTGCTGTATAGGGACAACATGCTCAGTTTTCTTCCTGGGTACAGCACTGCCAGGGTCCCGATCCTTAAACAAACAGACACCACAAAAGAACCTTCTCTTAGGAGGTACAGTTATTGAAAATTTTAGGGCTGCTCTTGGAAAAATCCAGTCTGCTTCTTAACGTGTAGCAAGAAAACACCAAAAGTCACTTAGAGATTAGAGCTAGAGTTACTTCTTAAAGGCTTAGAGACTGTTTTTATGGGACTGTTTAGTCTGATGTCTAACAAAACGGTAGTAAGTTCAGAACACCCTTCTGGGAAGAACTTGTTTTTATCTTGCTGGGAGAACGTTAGTTTTGTGCCAACTTCAATAATAGGAGAGGGCCTAATGAAAGTCAGAGAAGGATCTCCATGCTGTTTCTTAGTTCTTCCTCCCAGGCCTGGCCTGATCTTGAAGGCAGGCAATGCCACGTGACCATGGAAACAGTGGAGGAACTAAGAGGAACAATGTATGGGCTGGAGAAGGCTGGAGGAGCTGAACTATATCTCTCCTCCTTAAGTGACCTTCTTCAGGACTTTGAGCTCAGGACTAGGATTTGCATCTGAGTTCCTTCATTTATATAGTGGAGAAACTGCTACTTGCTACTCCTTTCATGGGATACTGAGAATTCAAGGGAAAGCATTTTTGAAAGGGTTATAGCTTCTTTTTTTTTTTTTTTTTAATTTTTTTTTTTCAACGTTTATTTATTTTTGGGACAGAGAGAGACAGAGCATGAACGGGCGAGGGGCAGAGAGAGAGGGAGACACAGAATCGGAAACAGGCTCCAGGCTCTGAGCCATCAGCCCAGAGCCCGACGCGGGGCTCGAACTCACGGACCGCGAGATCGTGACCTGGCTGAAGTCGGACGCTTAACCGACTGCGCCACCCAGGCGCCCCAGGGTTATAGCTTCTTGTCTGAAGGCATTTCTTAGTTATAATCAGTGACGACCCAAACTATGCATACATAACTGCAATCAGAGTGTCTTGCCAAGAGAAAGTTCAACTTGACAAAGGCTAAGAAGAGGCTATTGCTTCTTTGGATACGATTTTGTTTACTAGAAAAATGTGGGGCTCTCAAATAAAAAGTTTGTACATCTTCCTGGACTCAATTTTGAAAGAAGGTACTTACTTCACTCTGTTTTCTTAAATTTATGACACATTTACTTCCCAAAAAGGTTTTAATAATCTCTAAAGTAAATCAGATATGCCAGAGAAGGTCTGAGATACTAATTCCATTAAACATTTGTTGAGGTCTAAATATACAAGGCAAGAGAGATTCAAGGGTGAGCAGCGATAATTTTCTATACTTCACAGGACTAGAGAAGTGAACGGAGTAACACCTGCAAGTCCTTGAGCAAAGTAGGAGAGAGAAACAGAGTAGAGAGAATAGTGTCTGGAGGTTCAGACGACGAAGTGTGATTCACAGGTATGCCACGTACTGGGACCCTGGGACTGGTACCCACAGGCCTCTCCAGTCTGCCTCCTTGGCTGTGAGATGGCAAAAATAATAATGGTACTTACCTCAAAAGGTTATTGCAGATTAAATGAGACCATGCGTGTGACATGCCTGGTACACAGTAAGGTCAATAAAGGCTAGCCATTTCTAGTGCCTCGCATATGAGGTCGTACTCAATACGTGACCCATTTGTTTTTTCCTATTATTTCAACTTCTAAGAGACCTCTCTTGCCAAAGGAAATTTTAAAATTATGTCATATACCAGTAAACTTTTTTCTGCAGACTTCTGACAATGTCTGAGGCTGGTACTGCTCAGAGTTCTTTAAGGAATCAAATTCAACTTTTAAGAAGATCTCCTGTCGTGGGAGTCAACCTAAACCACGAACACCCAAAACAAACAGATGAAGTAGAGAGTAAAGATTGACATGCCCATCAGGATGAAGCCCAGGATTACTAGTCCAAAGAGCATCATTACGGCAGTTAAAGCGTGATTTGTATTTATTCATGCCTTTCAGCAGCAGCTCTGTGGCCTAAAGAAGATGACATGGCTGCTGAATTGGGGTTGGGTTTGCACTCCTGATAGCGTTTTCCATTACTAACCGCCAGGCCGCCTTACCTGCTGCTTTGAGAAGAGCCGCCAGCCTGGTGGACCCTCTCCCGGCTGCTATATGCAGGGGTGTGGTTCCATCATATGTGGTACTGTCTACATAGGCATCACCCTAAAATCCAGCCAACACAGGAAAGAGTTAGTGGAAGGTTCTCTCACGGTTTAGTCCCCACCTTCTCCTGTCAGCATGACCCTTAGGTCATGTTAATAGGTCATATTACTAGCCCAGTTGCTATTTGGGGCAGACTCTGTCACTGAAAACATCTCCAATTAGAGATACTGGGCAGATGGTGTCAGGAATGCCCGAAGCTGCTACTGTGGAGCCTTGAGTAGATACTGAATAAACAGAGGTACTGTAAGGAGACAACCTGTTACTGACATCTTTCCTTGAAAAGATGGTCTCAATTCCCTCTTGGGAATTGAATGCCGAGGCAAATACGTGTGTCCTTTACCTCCAGGAGCAGACAGCCAGCAAGGGAGATGTTGTCACGCTCCACAGCCAGGTGCAGTGCCGAGCGCCCCGACTTCCTCTCCTGGGCGTTGACGTCGGCCCCGGCGGCCACCAGCAGCAACAGGCACGCCATACTGTTGCTCATCACGGCTATGTGAATGGCGGTTAGACCTGCAGCCCAAGCACAGGGACAGTCATGGAGCTGGAAGGCTGCTCACAAGATGGCAAAACTGGACCCAATGGAAGGAATGCTGTCAAGTTTCAGCACGCCTCGTGTCTCCACTCCACACGGCCTTAAAAGGTGCTGTAAGTCTGTTGTTCTGCATGTAAACCCGCAGTCTGCTTGTATGTTCTCAGGAGAAACAGAGCAAACAAACAATCTCTGGATAAATGATGCTTTCTATGCTCAGGCCTCTGCTTTTTCCTCCTCCTAACTATTCCAAACCATCTTTAAAGAAATTAGCTAGCTATGGTGAGCAACAGAAATTCTCACAAGAGATGACAAATTCCAGGTGTCTAAGGAAAGCATTTTGGGGTGCAAATCAAATTACACACATTTATCAAATAGCTACCAATTGTTTAGAGAGCAGACAGAGAAGGTTATACCATAATGTGTGTTTGTCTCTTACCTTCCCCATTAGGGTGGTCGATAAGTAGTGCTGCCTTTTTGTGCTTGAGTAAAACACTGAGAATTTTATCTTGTCCTTCTTTGGCAGCTAGGTGCAAAACGGAGTTACCCAAGCGGTCCAGGAGGCTCAGGTCAGCCCCGGCCTTCAGCAAGTCCTCCACCACAGCCTCCTGCTTGGTGATCACGGCCAAGTGCAAGGGTGTCTGGCAAGTGGAGAAGGGGCAGGAGATACACTGGTCAGTGGCAAGCACCTGAACCCATGGGCTTGGTAGCTGCCACTACAATAGGTGGAGTCATCCCTCGGGGCCATTTCCCATTGCCAGATTAACGCCTCCCTACCGCAAATGTTCCATATCCTGTGCTAATGGAGTGTGTATGCTGGACTGCTATTGAGCCGTGCAATAATTAAGATTATTTTTATATTTAAAATTCTTAACAGCTTTCTTGTTTCTCATTACAGCCCGCTGATTATTAATATGTGAATTCTTCTTTTTAAAAATTTTTTTTTTCAACGTTTATTTATTTTTGGGACAGAGAGAGACAGAGCATGAACGGGGGAGGGGCAGAGAGAGAGGGAGACACAGAATCGGAAACAGGCTCCAGGCTCCGAGCCATCAGCCCAGAGCCCGACGCGGGGCTCGAACTCACGGACCACGAGATCGTGACCTGGCTGAAGTCGGACGCTTAACCGACTGCGCCACCCAGGCGCCCCAATATGTGAATTCTTCTAATAATAAGTTTAAATTTATTGAATTTCTAGTAGGAATCTATCTTCAGCTGATAATTCTGTATGTTAACAAATCAAAGCAAGGCTACAAGTTTACTGAAGAAGTTGAAATGAACTACTCAATAGAAACCGATTAACAAAGGTGCCATGATTCTACATTAACATGGAAAATGAGTTTGCTAAGTTAAAAAATATTTTTCCATGGACTGGCTCCATGAGGCAAATCAATAGAACTCTGGCACCTCCATTTTAATAACAGGTGTCAAAGGGTTCTAAATGTCTTTTTTTAAATTAATTAATCTATTTTGAGAAAGTGAGAGCATGACCGGGGGAGGGGCGGAGACAGAGGGGGACAGAGGATCTGAAGCGGGCTGTGCTGACAGCACAGAGTCCGATATGGGGCTCGAACCCACGAACTTCGAGATCATGACCTGAGCTGAAGTCAGACAGATGCTTAACTGACTGAGCCACCCAGGCGCCACAGAATTCTAAATGTCTCCACCAGGACAATAGAACTATCTCACTAAGAGGGCTCGGATGAACAAACAAGTGGAAGTGCCGGCACCTAATAGGTGCATAAACAGCCATCTGACTTAACTCTGCCCACGAAGTAGTGCCTCGGCGAATGCAAATGAGATGTTTTGCAAACTGAGTGTTTTCAAAATGAGCAAGACAAACACAATCAGGAAAGTATCTTTCAAAGAACTGAGGTCACCGACAAAGAACGGCAGTGTATTTTTAAACAAATCAGTCTATTTCACAGAAGTCTGTGAAATCCAGGCTGTCTAGTGACAACTTGCCTAAACTTTTCTCCCTCAGTAAGCGATCACTGGCCACAGCAGCGACAGCAGGTGAGCCACAGCACTCTGGCTGCAGGACGACCACAGCACAGGAGATGCTGAAAGACGCTCCCGTGGCCGTGTCTCAGTTACAGTGATGATCTCATACAACACAAACAAGACAGGCTATTCGGCCAAATTACCATTCTCTTTTATGTATTTCATCTTTTACAGCTTGAAATAGAATGATGTCCTCAAAACTTTAGATACTGTAGCCAAGAGTCTTCTTCTCAAAAAATAAATATGTTAAAAAAAAAAAAAGCCTGCATTTATTAATCTAAAATGCTATTTGGGGGAGATGAAAAAAGTCTGAAAGAGAATGAGACTGTAAAAAAGATCTGAAATTACAAAATATTATACCATTCAGAAATCAGCAATTATCTCTAGATTTAATACGATTTTTTTCATGTTATACAAATTCTGTTACCATGATAAGCTTTTTTTTTAAGTTCTCTCCTCTAGTACCACCAATTTTTCAATTTCTTAATTTCTATGAGATTTCAGGATGTAGATCTTTAACCCCAGAATTACAGAATGTAGTGTGGACTGCATGTGAGAGTATACTAAAATGTCTATATATTTCAAGTATATATGTTTATGTAACCAATATATGGAAAAGTACTTACAAATGTAATAGTTGTATTTGGGAATGGAGTTGGGAGACTTGTATATTGCCAGGGAGGGCAACTTTTGAGTTTCTAGTATATTTCCTTATGTACCATTTAAAGAACCATGAACATATATTATATCTATAAAAATTAAAAATATAAAAGAAAAAAACCCCACATGCACAAAACCCCCCACTAATGTTACATGGGAATGTATGCAAACAAAACAATCCATATCAAACACATTAGAGTGGTTGTCTATGGTCAGGGGGAGAAGAAGAGGAAGGGTTTAAAGGCAACAGATTTCAGAAATGTTTTCAGAAGACTCCTAACTCTATACACTTGGATTATTTTGAGTGTATCTCTAGAGAGTGGGTGGGGAGAGCGATCTGATCATGACAGATGGTCACAGAAATGTACTAAGATTAGTGAATGGTATTTTGGGAGGTTGTCTAAGACAATTGCCAAATAATCCAAATTACTTAGAGAACTCTATAATTTTTCCATCAAGAACAGTTAACAGAGAAACTTTACAAAGATAAATGCAGCCAACTTTTAGCCTTTTCTAGTTCTCAGAGTAAAGTTGCGATTGGTATATGTTTGAGCCATACAAGGCATACCAGGGGATCCAGAATCCTTGCCCATACATGAGAGCAGTGGTAAGTTGGGGGAAAAATGGACTCTCAGGGTCTCCTGAGAGTCCCTGTATCAGAAGGCGTGGAAGTGTCAAGGGTGGTGGTTTTGAGATTTGTGTGTGTGTAGCCTACTGGAGAGAGTCTCCATATATGTAACCAAATGATACAGTAAGGAGGTTAGCACATAATAAATCACAACTACTAATCCTGCTGTGTGGTGTCCTTTGCAGAGCCTATTTATAAACAGAAAAACAAGTAATTCCTTGAATCTGACCTACAGGCAGTGACGTTAAGCAGTCTTTGAGGGGAGCACCGAGAAGTGACAGTGTCCGGTTCCCAGTTTTATTTGTAAACTTGTGATGGTTGGGAGGAACAATCCGTCCTAAAGCCCGAGAGAATCAAGCTTTACGGGCCAGATGACTCTCCAAACACCAACAGCCCCCAAGATGGTATGAGAATCTGAAGACATCCTTTAAATGTCTACCTAAAATTAGAATTCACTTTCATTGCTTTATATTCTGAGTCAGTGAAGAATCCCCAACTCCATTCTTCCTTTGACATTAAGCATTACAGCCAGGGAAGGAGCCTAAAGCCTTACATCAAATGGGAAACTTACTTCCCTTCTCAGGAAACACCTATGCACAGATAAAAATCTAGTGACAGCCACATGTAAACATTTTAGTTCTTTTGCTTTGAAGAAATAAAAATGATCCACAACACCTGCTTTAACAATTGAGAACGGGAACAGGTACTTTACTGTGCAATTAACTGCACATGATTGTTGTCCACATTTTTAGAGTGACAGATATGCCTGGACCAGCACACCATCCAGGCCAGCAAGGGCTGGGAAGTCACTTTGGGTGCAGTGAAGGGAGGGAGAAAATGGGAAAGATGAGAAGGGGCCAGACCAGGAGACTGGGACCAAAGCCAGGTGGGCTGGGGCAAAGGCAAGCTAAGAGGAGACTGTGCTCCTGGGCAGGAAATGGAACAGCCCCGATGGTAGCGTGCCCCTTAACCAGAGAGACCGGCTCCGACGCCAGCATCCAGGCTTTGGTTCCGCCAAGCAGAAGTTTCGATCTCTGCATGTGCCTATCAGGCAGCCTCATGGGGTCCCAGCTACCTTCTCTCTGCCATATCTGCAGACTTCTGTACCAGGGCTCCTCGAGTTGCTTTTGAGCCCACTGAATTCCTGTTCAAACCTGATCTGGGCAAAACTCTGGTGTTCCCTGTTTTCCTCAATTTGAGATGTCTTTCTGTTTTTGAAAGACACTTTATTTGATACACACTTAATCTAGATGTTGCAAAAATGTGTTTTAGCAGACGTCAAAATTCTTATAAATTACTGGCTTTCCAACTTAATTTTTTTCAGTTGTATTTTTCTTGACAAATATGATGTATTACTCTAGGTTTCTCTGTACTGCATATTTGAAAGCTGCTAAGAGAGTAAATCTTAAAAGTTCTTGTTGCAAGAAAAACAAATTTGTAACTATGGGTGGTGATGGATGATAAACTTATTTTGGTGATCATTTTGTGATTTATGCAAATATCAAATCGCTATATACCTTAAACTAATACAATGCTATATGTCAGTTATATTTCAGTTAAAAAAAGAGAGAAGAAAAACAGGTGCTCAACATCACTCATCAGGGAGATGCAAATCAAAACTACAATGAGATATCACCTCACACCAGTCAGAAAGGCTAAAATCAAAAACATGAGAAACAAGTGTTGGCGAAGATATGGAGAAAAAGGCACACTCTTGCACTGTTGGTGGGAATGCAAACTGTTGCACCCACTGTGGAAAACAGTATGGAGAATCCTCAAAAAATTAAAAATAGAACTACCCTAAAACCCAGTAATTGCACTACTGGGTATCTACTCCCAAAATACAAAAACACTAATTCAAAGGGATACATGCACCCCTATATTTGTAACAGCATTGTTTACAATGGCCAAACTATGCAAACAGCCCAAGTGTCCATCAACAGATAAATGGGTAAAGAAGATGTCACACACACACACACAAGAATATTATTCATCCATAAAAAAGAATGAAATCTTGCCAACTGCAACAACATGGATGGAGCTAGAGAGTATAATGCTACGTGAAATAAGTCAGAGAAAAACAAATACCATATGATCTCATTCATATGTAGAATTTAAGAAACAAAACAAACAAGCAAAAGGGGGGGAAAAGTGAGGAGCAAACCAAGAAACAGGCTCAACTACAGAGAACAAACTAATGATTACCAGATGGGAAGTGGGTGGGGGGATGGGGAAAACGGGATGGGGATTAAAGAGTATACTTAGTATAATGAAAAAAACACAACAAATTAAGAAAAGAAAAAAAAAATGGATCAACTCTTTGACAGATTTCTAAAGTGTAAACTTTGTCTTCCCCCAGCATGAGTGGGGGATTTCTATCGTGGAGTGATTACTATTACATTCATAGGTTAAAGGATACTAAATCATAAATAATATTCCCAAGTAATGGGCTTTTAGGATATAACTTATACAACAATGCACTGTATTTTCGCTACTGTTAACATTATTAGAAATAATACATATACACATGCACACGCACATGTGCAAACACGCACCAACGGTGAAGTTTTCTTCAGTTGGTGTTTCTGCTTACCTGGTAGAGATCATTTCTCATATTGATAATGTCATCAGAAATCAAGCCAGACGTGACTTCTAGTAGATCCCTCACAAGCTGGGCATGAAGATGGATGATTGCTAAGTGTAAGACACTGGAAAAAAAAAAAAGTGGCAATAATCAGCTGAAGTGTTAGTGAAAAAAAAAAAAAAAAGATTTCCAAGAAACGATCAGACTTGCAGACTGAACCTGGCTCTCATACTTAAGTTTTATTTGGGCCCCAAATGCCTTGAATATGAGGTGGGGATGTTCTGTTGCTTATCCAGGCAGCTACACTCATTTACCATGCTTGCCTGGCCTCTAGGGGCAATTTTGGTTTGACCCTTTGAGGTATAAAGGGATCTGGGCCTTGAGGCAGAGAGGCCTAAGTTCAAATCCCAACTCTGTCTCCCTGCAGTGGTTTTGGTGTATTTTCTCCTCTAGCCTCTTCCTGGCTTCCCTTTACATACAGATCATGTATGGAAAATGCCCAGCACTTGGAACTATTCAGAAAAATGTAGTTACTTCACCTAGCCTTGCCAGCCTCCTCTAAAACACAGTGTGGTGTCTTTTTAAAGATCTTTCCAGACCCCAGGAGGGGAGGATAGGGTCAGGCTTTTAACTACTGGGAGAAGATTCTTGAGGCAAATTTCTGAAGGAACAATGTGATTATATTTCTCCCTTGCAAATATTCCCTCTGCCTGGAATGGTTTTGCTCCTCTTCTCTGCCTAGACAATGCCTACTCCATCCTTCACATGCCAGTTCAAACCTCACCTCCTCTCCGACCTTCCTAGGCGGACCACACTGTCTCCACTCAAGTTCACTGCTTGTTATGCAACTGTAGTTTTTCGTATGCCTTTCTCCCTCTCTGACCTGTGACCTCAGGGCTGGTTCTCCCTGGGTCAGCCTCAAGCCCTGGCACACAATTTAGGCACTAAAATTTAGGCACACAGTTTAAGCACTAGGACCTTATGCTAATGAGGTTGAAAATATTGGCAGGTGCCAAGCATTACTCCTAGGGACACAATGTTTTAATTGTTAAAACAACTTCCTATTAAAATTAATTTGAAACGATGCGACGCTAACAACAATAAACGTTGTTTAGAGCTTCTATTTGCCAGACCATCATAAGCAGTTGACATACGTGATCTTATGTAATCACAACAAGAAGCCCTGTGAGCTTATGAGGTTAACATTATCCTCATTTTTCAGATGATGAAACTTGGACTTGTAGGTATAAGAGAACTCAAGTCAGGTCATATAACTAGTGAGTGGTGAAGCTGGGAGGCCAGCCCAGGTCCACCTGGCTCCAAAGTCATCTCTTAATCCCTTAAGCCACCCTGCTGAGGGGGCACATGGGCACTGCTCTGTGGAGTCACAGATGGACACCTAAGATAATGAATATTCCAAAGTATGGACAGATTGTGATACAGAGCACACTCAAAGTATCGCATGGTGGCAGGACAGCTGGGATTTGAGGCACAGCCTCGATTTTCTCCAAATGAAAAATATTCGGTGTCACTTCATTCAGACCTCTTTCTTAGCAAGAGCAAGTGTAAAATTTTACTAGGGATTAACATTGGCACAGGAGGGCCTGAAAAACTAACTTCTGACTTCATTACTTGAGAGAGCAAATGATGTCAAGGTGTCACTACTGACTCTTGAAACGTGAGACTGGAAGAAGACTTCTAAAAAGGGCTTCAAATCTGATGCAGCCATGACGCATACGTACCAAGTAAAAGGTCATACTTCAAAACTGCCTAGAAATTTCCATGCGCAGCTCAGCATTTCATAGCAGAAGTACATTCTCTCTCCCCCTTAAATCCTCACACCCTCATGGGAATTTCCCCAACACCAGAAGTTCTTTCCTTTTCTTTTCTTCATTGTGTATGCTGTGATGACTAATGGTTACAGGATTCAGATTATTAGCTGAGCATGACGAGTTCAATGAAAACGAGACCTGAGCTGTGAGGACCAATGGTTTTCCTCTGTCTGCATTCTTATGAGGGCTCCTCTTTGGTCTCTCCACATCGCTCGTCTCTGCCCTCTATCTGTGGCAAGCCCCGAGACACTGCTTGCAGGAGGAGTATGTTTGTGGTCCTAGGAGGGGACTCTAAGTATTCATGTTCTGCTGGGTGGGGAAGGTCACCTCCCTGGTCCCTCCATATGTGTCCTTACACATGCGTGGTGTATGGTATATGATGGGAAGGTTGTGGAAAAGATTTCGGGGCGTATGCATTCAAGTGGGTGCATTGAGGGGAATGCGTGCATCTTCCCCTCAATGCACCCACTTGAATGCATGTGCCCCGAAATCTTTTCCACAACCTTCCCTTCCTATATCAGCAGCCCTTCCTAGCTTCTATGTGCTCATCTTTCTCAGGCTCATCAATGCAGCAGGTCCCTGAAAATATCACTTGAAACCCTGTTGTTCTATCTTGGTTAACTGCTTTCTCTTGTGGTTCCATGTTATTGAGTGCTAATTGGATTCTTTAACCCTGTAAAAGCATTCTGCTGTTCGCAGCATCGCATGAGGAAGGCTGTACCGGTTCTTCTCATACTGTATAACAAGGCCAGTGGTTATACCACATCCTTGGTTACATTGCAAGGAATGAGAACAAAGGTCTCTGTTTGAAACCCTGAGGTTGGCACTTTCCTAAAGTGTTTGATTCAGTTTTTTAACTGAGGTTGAAAACATAGCACTCAGGAACTCCTCTACAGAAAAGGGTTTCTCAGTGTTGACACTATTTTAGGAAAGTTTTAGATAAGGCCCTTGATTCGAATATGAGGGCTGTTGTCTCTTGTTATTCTCACCGGCTTTTGAGATCATTTTGGAGTCTCGATGCGAGGACTCCAAGAACTGTTTTAGAAAGAAGCCAGGTGCTTTGCAAATATAAGCTCAGTAACAGCAGAAACGGAGGCATGCTGAGTGGAATGTTGGACTCCCACACAGTGTGGGTTATGGCTGCCACAGGAGTGTGATCCAGTCCCCGACTGGTAACCAGTTGCAGAGGCAGTAGGGAAGGAACCAATGACTGGGAAAGAATGACAATGATCTCTTACTTGTTTTGTTACCGTTGTTGTTGTGCTGTCTTTACTGGGCTTTTTCTTGAGACTACTACCAGGAGAACTGTGCAGCCGGGGTAACCAGTGCTTTAGGAATTTGGTTGGACCACATTTATTGTCATCTCATTTTGGTAAATAAAGCAGATGTTATTAACCCAATAAATAAATACATGTTTGTTAAATTTTATTCCAAATGTTATCCCAATAAATAAAGCAAGGTTTTTGAAAACGTACCATTCCCCACACATATCTTATCCTTCTTGCCCAGCCTGATGTACTCTTAGATGAGGGCTTAAATGTTCTAACGTCCAACAGGTGGGAACCACAGGACCGGAGAAGCAAATTATGGATTCAACCTCACTGACACAGGACTGTCCGTGACAGTCTTCCAGTTACAGGACCCAATACCTTTAAACAATTCTTTTTATCCCTAGCCAGTATGCATACGATGATTTTCTCACTTCCTTACCCTAAAACAACCTTTGTTTGCAAAAGTCCTGACTTACCTGTCCCCATTCTCATCCTGCACTGCAGTGAGATGGCGCTGAACAGCCAGCAGCATCTTCACATCTCCTGTCACTGCGTAGTCAAAAAGGGCATTGGCATGCCGCTTGGCCAGCTGCATAGCCTTCTCTAAGAAGAGGTTATCTGCAAGGCAATGAGCACAATCACAGTGGAGTTTCCTATACTTGCTCTACGAGTATGGCATGCCTGGGGCCAAAACCATCAACACCAGTGTTCTGATACCTCGACACACATCGTTTTAGTTGCATCTGCTCCTTTCGGTGCTCCTGGGTTGGGTTCGTTAGCAAAAGCACAATTGCACGTTGGCTTACTGACAAATACAGAGGCTGATCGGAAAACTCTGTCTGTGGTTTGTTAGGGGAAAGAAATTTAGATAGGTCTGATATTTCAGGGGGAACAATCAGTCTCCAAATAATGTTGATTGGCTTGACTATACTGTAAATAATCAATCTCTTGATGAAATAATCCTTCATTGGAGTCTTAAACCACTGTCTCGTTAGGCAAAGTGTCAAAAACCACAGTCTCTGCCACAGACAGACTTTCCCTAAGCCATCCGTGTTCTTGTGAAGTTTGCTTCAAGGTCAGGAAAAGGCAAATTTGGACCTGAGGGTCAAAACCAGTATGTGGCCTGTTTTTATACGGTCCCCTACCTAACCATGCTTTGTATGTTTTTAAAGTGGTATTTAAAAAAAAAGAATATGTGATAGAGACCATAAGAGGCCACTAAGCTGAAATATTTGCTCTCTTTCCCTTCTCTTTTCTCTAATGAGTACTGGTTCAAATTACGTGCAAAGTGCGCTGTCCCCCTTAATCCTAATTGTTCAAAGAGGGCATCAAGGTAAAAGGAAAAGTTCTCATTTTGAGGCAAAGTTCTACTTCAGTGTGATGGTCCAACTACGGTCTAGAGGAAGAAGACTATTGAAGTTATGGGAACTTCTCTATTATCTGTGGTGGAAATGAATTAGATTATCTCCCACGATATCCTAAAACTGCATAATTATGACTGGAGAATGCATATGCATATTCTGGTACTTTATTCAGAGATAACACAGGGAAAATGGAAATTTCAGTGTGAATTAAATGCTCTGACACATGCTTTTCAAGAGGCATACAGGACTCTGAAGAGCACACCGAACAAGATATTGATATATCATTTTTAGATTAACAGAAAATAAACCGGTCTTCTGACAATAGCTTCTATACCTGGAACCAACCTATCCCCTCACCAGTCAATACAATGCAATCACATGTGTACTCACTTACCCTGAAACCTAGAATTCTCTTCCTTTACTCCTACTGTATACGTCAGGGTAACTTCATCTTCTCCAGTGCCAGACTCCTTATCTTGTTCTGTGGGTTCAGTTACTTTCCCAGAGAGGTTCACTGCGTCTCTGTCCACACTCTTGCTGCAACCCTCAGGGTCATTTTTAGATGGGGAGTCTATGGTTCCTAAGATAAAAGCAGAAACATCAGATTTTTCTCACTAAATTCCATTAAGTGATAACTCCCTGTTTCAGCGAAGGTCAGATAAAAGATAGGCAAGTTTACTGCAAAGGGAAAAGAAAAACAATAATTTGAAATTCCTTTTAAAATACTCATATCATAGGTAACCTGTTTTGGAGCTATTTTAAACTCTCACGTCTAAAAGACACATTTTTACGGAGTTATATGTGACATATTCCATTAGTTTCAGGTGTACAATATAATGATTTGATATTTGTATATATTGTCAAATGATCACCACAGTAAGTCGAGTTAGCATTAGTCAGCGCACATAGTTACAATTTTTTTGTGATAAGAACTTTCAAGATCTTAAAAAAAATTTCAGGGGCGCCTGGGTGGCGCAGTCGGTTAAGCGTCCAACTTCAGCCAGGTCACGATCTCGCGGTCCGTGAGTTCGAGCCCCGCGTCAGGCTCTGGGCTGATGGCTCAGAGCCTGGAGCCTGTTTCCGATTCTGTGTCTCCCTCTCTCTCTGCCCCTCCCCCGTTCATGCTCTGTCTCTCTCTGTCCCAAAAATAAATAAAAACGTTGAAAAAAAAAATTAAAAAAAAAATGTCATATACACTTTTAAAAACTTACATTTCATTCTATTTATTTGTAAAGGAGAAAAATGAAATAAAGCTCTTCTGTGAATTGTAGGGAAGTGGAATTTTTAAAGTTTAAATAGAAACAGAGGAGTTATGGGGTGCGTGGGTGGCTCAGTCAGTTAAGCTTCCAACTTCAGCTCAGGTCATGATCACACAGTTTGAGTTCGAGCCCTGCATTAGGCTCTGCACTGACAGCTCAGAGCCTGGAGCCTGCTTCAGATTCTCTGTCTCCCTCTCTCTGCCCCTCCCCCACTCATGCTCTGTCTCTCAAAAATAAATAAATGTTAAAAACTTTTTTTTAAATAACATATAATAACAATAAAAAAAGAAACAGGAGTTATGGGGTGCCTGGGTAACTCAGTCAGTTAAACACCCAACTCTTGATTTCAGCTCAGGTCATGATCTCATGGTTGAAAGATCGAGCCCCATGTGGGGCTCCTCACTGAGCCTAGAGCCTCTCTCTCTCTCTCTCTCTCTTTCTCTCTCTCTCTCAAAACACCCCAAACAAACAGGAATTATTTTTTTCCTAATGCTAATTAACCAAGCAAGTTGTTAAGACATAATATCAAGTCACATTCTGTAGTGTGGGAGTTACTTGGTAAGCCATTTCTGTGCTCTTTCCAGTCTGACCATTATCTGGCAGTACCTTATCTGGCAGGTACTATGTAAGCACCTATGTTTTGTGAGCAGAGCTGGTTCAAATCCAGGTTCTGCCAATAACAGATATGTGTCTTCAGTGAGTGAATGAACCTTTCTGAACGTTGGTGTCCTCTGTCCATAAAATGGAGGCATTATTATTTTCCTTACAGCAATCATGAGGATGACAGTTAAAACATGTAGAAATAGCACCTGACATCAAACAGGCATTCAATACATGGGAAGACTTTATTGTATTATTGCTTCAATGGGTACACTAGAATGGACATGTAATACAAGCTACGAACACAGCATGTGACAAGTGCACATGAAGGGATGCATTTGAGGGGAAAGGCCATCCCTATAAAACTCAAAAGTCTTCAAAAGTGTAGCATTTGAGAAGAAAACAGGAGAGGACAGTTAAGTTTGGTGACTTTTTTAGTCAAGTGTCTCCATATGTCCCTTTTTAATGCTCTTTTCTTCCCCTTGTTCATGTCACTTAAGAAGTAAATATATAAGTAGAAACATAAGATTGGAAATAGAATTTATATTTGCCACAGGAAATAACATTTTTTTTATGCAAAAGTATCTTCTCAGTTTACCTGCATTTATCAATTTTTTTCAAGATGACAATGTGATGAGTAATAATATAAAACTTTTAATTTTTTATTCTTTTTTCACTATTGGAAAAAAAACTGTATTACTTACCATGTTTCATCCCGGCATTAGATTTAGTGGTTCCAGGATGGAAGGTAATTCCACCGTATGTAGGGAATCCATAGTGGGGGAAGCCATACCCTGAAATGGCAAGCAAAACAAATGAAACCTCATGATGGTTGTGTATGTGCGTGTGTGTGTGTGTGTACGTGTGTGTGTGTGTATGTGTGTGTTTTATGAAGAGTCAGCAAAGTTTGGTGTCCTTCCCTCAGGTGAGCACAGGCTTTGGTGTGGGAGGGCAGAGTGCCCGACATGGTGCTGCCATTGTGAGTTAGTAAGACACATTGTGGGGATCATGGATGATCAGAATTCCACTCGGACCAAGTTTACATTTTGGCAACTCAGACAATGCCCAGGCCTGGGGCAGCATGGAGGAGTTCACGCTGGAGAAAGTCTCCCACTGTTGTGTGGGAGTGCTCACCACCCAAACTCAGACTTGCTGACACAGAGGGCCTTGAAATAATGCCTGGCAGGAAGAACTGAACCAAACAAAATACAAACTACCGAGTCCTCAAGGAAACATGACCACACTGTGCATGCTCATGCATTTTTGGTGGAAGCATAAAAAGTCATACGTAAAATTAGAGGTCATACTCTCTGACATTGTAATTTTACTTCAAAGAATCTAATTTACAAAAACAGTCTGGAATAAAAGAAAAACAATGTGGACAAAGGAGATTAGTAAAAACAATAAAAAACAGGAAACGCATTCAAGTAAGTAATACTATGGAATATTCACTTGGTGAAATATGAGTCATTAAAATGATCCTTAAGAAATTATGCTTACATAATATTACCACGGTGGAAATGCTTATGTTAACCCATTAGGGAAAAGCAGCATATATGACTCCATATACACAATCATTTATGATAATAAATAACTAACGTAGGTAAATAGATTAAATACAATGCATTATGAGGATTGTAGCTGTACTCATGAAAATGCAAAAAATATCTACCGTGACGTTTGCACAGAATAAAATTAGAAGAAGTTAACCTTCGATGGCAGGATTTTATGTGTCTTCAGATATTCTACAATGCTAGTATATATAACATGAAATCTTTTTAATGTTGCCAAAGAAAACCAAGACAAGTATAGAAGCAAAGAAGGAAGGAAGGGAGGGAAGGAGGAAGAAAGGAAGAAAATATACCAAAACGTTAATAGACACGTTCTTCATATAACTGAACTTGAGTGACTGTTTTTCTTCTTAGAGTTTTTGGTATTATCTACATATTGCCAAATGAACATGCATTTCTTGAAAAAATACACTTATTAAAATTTTAATTAATTTCCTATGTCACACTCAGTAACGTCACAGCCACTCAACCCACAGACCATCTGGGAAATCTAGGGAAAGACAATTCTAGCTTCTCCAACGGGAAAAGCTTTAGAAAGAGGAGACTCAATTCGTACCTGGACCCGTACCTCCGGCACCCCCTCCTCCACCGCCACTGCCAAACATGCCTCCACCTCCAGCTCCAGCACCACTACCGCCGCCGAAACTATCAGAGAAATTAGGCATGAGCTTCTGCCGTTTCCTCTGCACTTCCTCTTTATCTGTAGTTAAAGGAAGAGAAACCAAAGGAGAAAAGACTGATTCAATTCCACAACCAGCCACAGAAAGAATATTGATTCTGATGGTATTTTTAAACATCTTAAAGGGAAACAGAAATCACCCAAGGAGGAAGAGATGCCAAATTTCAAGAAGCATTATATTTATTCCAATGGCTATGAAGATGGAGAACCAGCCTCAGAGAGACCACAGAACAGTACACACCCAAATCCTCTCTACAGTTAAGAAACAACAGTTTCTGAAGCCCCCGGTGTCATTCAAATTAGCGAAAGACTAGACTTCCCATCAATTATTAAGATACTAGAGATACCGGAGAAGAAAAACAATATTGAGCTTTTCATTTGGTCATACAAACCACTATTACCAACCAACTAACATTTGTAATGCATCTACTGTGAGCTAAGTGCTAAGGAGAAAGAGAAGAATGAACAAGGTCTTTGCTGTCAAGAACCCTCCAATACAATTGAAAGGTTGTGGGGGAAAGACTTGGGAGAGATAGCATCATAAAGCTCTCTATGTTAAATTTATGGTTGCAAAGCAGTGTTCCAGGGGGTCAAAGGAGAACTTCCAGGAAGTACCTATGGGCTGGAAAATTCAGGAAAAGCTTTCCAGAATCCACTTTATATCAGGAGAGGGCAATGGGAGGATGAGCTGGAAATGGGATGTAGAGGCAAAATAACGAAGGAGAGAATGCGCACTGTGTGCTTATGGATCAGTCTAGCTGAAGTGAGAGTTTAGCATAAGAAAGTCTTGAGAAGTGGGGCTGACTGGAACCACACTGTCAGGCTCCTGGATTGTGAACCCAAGGGGCTTACAAGCAGGAGGGCCACTGGTTGTTTCTGAACTGGGGGATGATGTGTACAGCATGCTAGTTTAAGAAGATTCATCTGCCACTGGTGCGTAGGACAAAACAAAGAGTCAAAGTGAGAGGCAGAGACAGTGCAAACGGAAGGGAATGGGGCTGTTCCTTAGTGGTCACCGTGATAATACAAATGGGTGGACCCCAGGAATGCAATGAAAGAGGGATTGGTAGTCATTGGTGACTGAGGAGATACAGGAGGCCGAAAGTCTAAAGACTTGACTTAAAACACAGTGATGCCCTCTGAGATTTTTGGCTGTCCAGGTCTAGATGCCATTTACACTATCATTCCTCATTCCTCGTGTCATTGTAGTTTTTCTTTTGCTTCTCACTATCTGTTCTCCCCAGCCCACTGCCATTGTGGTCCGTTATTGAGCTCTTGTTTCTTCTTTCTGTTTCCCTTTCTCTTCTCTCATTTTCCTATCATGTATTTTTTTTCCCCTTCTCTCTTTTGGACTGAAAGGGTGATGTAAAATTTCTGTTTACATAAACAGGCAATGTGGTATTCTTTTTTTTTTTTTTCAATAAGCAGCCTGATACTTAACAATTGTCCTATTTCCAATTCTTCAATGTTAGCTTTGGCCATTGCTTATGTCCAGAAAGATCTCTACTTATTTCTAATTTTGTGGTTATTTCAGCCATCTCAGGGCTCGAAAGAATGCTTTTACTGATTACTGCAGTCACCTGAGCACAGCTGGAAGACTGAAACATGGAAAAGTAGGATAGCAAAGTACCCTTAAAATAATCCTTTAAAAATGGATCATGTCCAGACCTGTTAGGAAGAAAGCCAATGTGGGTCAACTTTGAAGAGAATGTGCTTCTACTAGAAAGGGTTGGCCTCAAAGCAGAGAAACTTTACAAATTTCCTTTTCAAAGGTTTTGAACAGATTTATAAAAATTTTCCATCAGTTGTACTATAACCAACTAATAGTCATACTTATTACTCATCCTATAAACTGGGGATCTCACATAGAATATTAGTTCATTAGAAATATGAAACATAAGAGGGAAGCAGACAACTTATTCATCTTCAGGAGTACTTGTTATCTGCTGATGTGTTCTACCAAAGAGATCATTTGGTACTCGCTATGTACTTTTTCTGTTTTATAAAACAGAGATGTTCAATGGTTTTATTTTACTGTAAAATGGTAATTTTTCAGTCACTTTAAAAATATTAACTATTATACATCCATTAAGATTTCAACGACAAGAAACTGATACAGAATATTTCATTATGACAAGTTTTTAAATAAAAGAACCAGCCTGAATTTCCCCAGAATTGAACATGGAGATAGTCTCATCACATTCATGTATCCCTGTGGTCTGCCTTTGACAGTGGCAGCATGGGTTGTACTATGAAACATCAACCTATTCTAGAAGGGACCTAAGTGGTCCCTCCTTTTACAGAAGAGCAAACAAAAGCTAGGATGATTAAGGGACTTGTCAGAGGTCAGGGCAGAGTGAAGATGAGATTCAAAGCCAGTGAGCTTTCCATTCTATTAGACTGCCATTCTTTGGGAAACACTCCAAAATGTCTTTGCTTCCTTTAATAATTGGTGATTGCAGATAAGAGTCTAGTTCACAAATGTAGATAAACTTTTAGTATCCACCTCGTTTTGATATGTGTATGCCTTCAAAAGTACCTCATTCGCGTTTTTTGGGTTCTAGTGTGCTAGTAAAAGATGTCTGCATCTATCCTAAGCATTCCTTTCATAATTTAAAGATTATGATTCCGTTTCTTCTGATTCTCCACTTTTTCAGACTGAAAAATCACATGGTCTTTTTTTTGCCGTTCATATAGCAGTTCCTCAACTATCTTCTTCCCTTGCCAATTGTCCCTCTCTCGATTATTTAACTTGTCTTCCCTAAGCCCAACCATCTCCATGACATTTTCATGAGGTACAAGGTCAATAACTATATCAGGTGTCGAGTTCTGGAATAGATGGTTCTGTACAATGAAAGGAATATGTTATATTTCTTTGTCTGATGTCCTCCTTGATGGCACCCAACAAATTAACAGCCTTTGGGATAAGGATGGCAACTTGGTTGGTCAGTCAATAAGTCAGCTCCCATATTATAAGAGCCAAGGTATGGAAGCAGCTCAAGAGTCCATCAATTGATGAGTGGATAAAGAAAATGTGATATCTATATCTATATCTATATCTATATATATCTATATATATATATCTATATATATATCTATATATATCTATGTGTGTGTGTGTGTGTGTGTGTGTGTGTGTATGGCATAAAAAAAAATAAGATCTTGCTATTTACAATGACATGGATGTAGCTACAGAGTATTATGCTAAGCAAAACAAGTCAGTCAGAGAAAGACAAATACCATATGATTTCACTCATTTGTGGAATTTAAGAAACAAAACAAATGAACAAAGAAAAAAGAGACAAACAAAAAACCAGACCCTTAAATATAAAGAACAAACTGGTGGTTACCAGGAGACTGGTGGGGGATGGGTGAAATTGGTAAAGGGGATCAAAAGTATACTTATCATGACAAGCACTGAGTAATGTATAAAATTACTGAATCACTATGTTGTACACCTAAAGCTAATACAGCACTGTGTATTAACTAACTGGAATTAAAATTAAAACTTAAAAAAAAAGCCAGCTCTCAGATATATCTCAGCATCTCCTATATGACATCTACTAAGGGACGCCTGGCTGGTTCGGTTGGCAGTGCATGCAGCTCTTGATCTCAGAGTCGTGAGTTCAAGCCCTACATGGGCATTGAGACTACTTAATTTTTTTTTTTTTAACGTTTATTTATTTTTGGGACAGAGAGAGACAGAGCATGAACGGGGGAGGGGCAGAGAGAGAGGGAGACACAGAATCGGAAACAGGCTCCAGGCTCTGAGCCATCAGCCCAGAGCCTGACGCGGGGCTCGAACTCCCGGACCACGAGATCGTGACCTGGCTGAAGTGGGACGCTTAACCGACTGCGCCACCCAGGCGCCCCGCATTGAGACTACTTAAAACAAAATAAAATATATGACATATACTGTTCTAGATGTTGGAAATGTATGAATGAACATGAAAGACCAAATCTATGAACTAAATAATATTCTTCCTATTGGAGGGTGGAAGAAGACAATAGATACCTAAATTCATTGATAGGACAATTTTGCTTACTGATAAAAATAATGAACTACACAAAATTGACACAGGGAATGACTGCAGGGGCTGGGGCAGTGGAAGGTGTGTTCAATGACCTCTGAGAAATGTACACAAAGATTCCCTGGGTTGTATAGTTTTAATTCATTTTCATACACTTACTCTTATATTATTTTTAAACAATTTTTTTTAATGTTTATTTATTTCTGAGACAGAGAGATACACAGCATGAGTGAGGGAGGAGCAGAAAGAGAGGGAGAAGCAGGCTCCAGGCTCTGAGCTGTCAGCACAGAGCCCGATGCAGGGCTTGAACTCACAAACTATGAGATCATGACCTGTGCGGAAGTCGGTCTCTCAACCAACTGAGCGACCCAGGTGCCCCCACTTACTCTTATATTAAATGGCCTGTTACTTCTCTCTCTCTTTTTTAAAAAATATTTATTTTTGAGAGAGTGAGAGAGAGAGCAGGGGAGGGGCAGAGAGAGGGGGGGAGAGAGAGAGAGAGTCCCAAGCAGGCTCCACGCTGTTAGCACAGAGCCTGATGTGGGGCTTGAACTCATGAACTGTGAGATCATGACCTGAGCTGAAATCAAGAGTTGGATATTAAACTGACTGAGTCACCCAGGCTCCCCGGCCCACTACTTTTCTGGTTATATGTCTGGTGTGATTATTTCTCCTTGTGATTATTTCATTTTGGGATTTACAATCCAGAAAGTTTTACTGACCAAGGTAATTTGTTACCTTCAATAAAACAGTTCCAATCTCACAATGTATAAATATATGTCACAATAGATGGTGGCCATTCTTTCTGTGGAGCTCAACTTCTAACTCTTATTTTTCCAGATGATTCTTCTTACTTGTTTGTATTACATGGAGCTTTTAGTCAATGACAGCCTGGAAGTGCTTGAAGCATACAGGTAGGAATTTGAACTTTCAGGAGACCCCATTCTCTAACCTGAGCATCTGATAGATCCTATTATGAATGAACACCTGAACATGCCCTTGCTGTATCTCACTCTTTTGATGAACAAATACCCCTGGAAAAGGTAGACTGGCAGCCTAGAAACCAAGGTGAGCTTTGAATGCTTCTCGATGCATACATGTGTAGGTAATCTGGGTATCCTTTTTAAACATAATTCTCTGTGTTGAAAAAAAATGGACATTATGTTAAGACATATTTTAGGAGAAGAAATTAATTTTTTCCCTCAGAAAGTCCAAAAATTTCTCTCCTGTGTCTATTTAAAAAAGTGTGTTTTGGGGCGCCTGGGTGGCGCAGTCGGTTAAGCGTCCGACTTCAGCCAGGTCACGATCTCGCGGTCCGTGAGTTCGAGCCCCGCGTCGGGCTCTGGGCTGATGGCTCGGAGCCTGGAGCCTGTTTCCGATTCTGTGTCTCCCTCTCTCTCTGCCCCTCCCCCCATTCATGCTCTGTCTCTCTCTGTCCCAAAAATAAATAAACGTTGAAAAAAAAATAAAAAAAAAAAATAAAAAAAAAAATAAAAAAGTGTGTTTTAATCAAAAGCAGTGATTTTCATCTTTATGCAGACTGAAGCATTTGGAAGACCTCAGGTTGTCGCTGGGTGGGGAATGAGGGCAGGTGGGCTGGCTCCCCACCTCCACTGTAGTTATTTATTTATTTATTTATTTAATTTTGTTAATGCTTTTTCTTTATTTTGAGAGAGAAAGAGAGTAAGAGAGAGAGAGAGCAAGTGGAGAAGGGGCAGAGACAGAGGGAGAGAGAGAATCCCAAGCAGCCTCCAAGCTGCCAGCGCAAAGCCTGACATGGGGCTCGGACTCATGAACTGTGAGACCATGACCTGAACTGAAATCGAGAGTCAGACGCTCAACCAACCGAGCCACCCAGGCAACCCCCTCTACTTCCACTTTAACCAGAGCCTGTCAGGTGTATGCACTGGGATTTTGCATGAAATCTTATGTGGACTGGGGGGAAAAAAGGCTCTTTTGTTGATAATGTTTTCACACCACAGTAATGGAATGCTGTGAATCGGGACCATCAGTAAACAGGTCACGATCTCTGAAAAGAAACAAGACCTCATGGAATCATCTTCTAAATGCTCCCACCACAACATGAGTTACAGGCAAAGAAGCCCTCTTCAAGGATCACACATCACATGTTGCTACCACAGGATCCAACACTCATGTGGATCATCACTGCAGCACTTTTGTGGCTTCAGACATCAGCCAGGACCTGGGTGCTCTGTGATGATCATTTCATTGACCTCCCACAATGGTCTCACTTCCCTCTAATCCAAGGGTTTCTGATTTTGTTTGTGCCATAACCCCTTTTCCAGTCTTGTGAAGTGTTACGGATCTTTTCTTAGAATCATACCTATCAATATGTAAAATTACAAAAAAAGCTGATTATATTAAAATCCATTTCTATCCTTGGACCTCTTGGGGTCAGTGGACTCCAGGTTAAGAAATATCTTTGAGCAATTTTCCCATTTAGGGGCCTATTAAATACACTCAATGCTGAATTTCCCACCCTGCCCTTTTGAGTTCCAGTCCTGCCTTTTGATTGGCTTATTAGGAATTTGCCAGAGGAACCAAAAATGCAACATGTTTTAAACTGAGCTCCCTCTCTGTCCACTCAAATATACTTTTGCTCCCTGGATTCTTTCACCAACTCAGCCACGTAACAACCTTCCTAGGCTGGGATTCCTAGAACCATCTATGACTCCTGAATTTCTCCTTCACCTCCTACCTCAACCAGCATCTGGGGCTTAACGCCACTGTCTCCTTGCATTCCTTACACTAATACCTTTAGGAACCTCCCCATTTCTCACTTGGATTCTTGCATTACTCTTCGGACTCTTCATCTGCTGCTCACACAGTTCCCTCAGTGTCCATATAAGGAAGTCAGAGCCATCATTCCAAACCCAAATAGGCCTGGTAATTCCCTTATCCAGATCAATCAGAATTCTTCAGCTGCCAATCACAGCACTTCTGAGCCTGGCCTTGGCCTTCCTTACCTGTCTTGGTCTTCAGTGGTCCATCTCTGTGCCCAAAAGGCTCACTTCTCTCTGAACTAACAATAATTGTTCAGCTCCTCAAGTTTCCAAGCCTAGGAAACACTTTCCTTCCTTGTTTCTCACCTAACTACCGAAATACACCCCCAGGTTGAAGGACCTTGAAGAAGCCTACTTCTTGGTGGCTTCTATAGAATTAAGGGTCCTCTCTCCTTGGCATTCTCATAGGTGTTTGTAGATGCTTCCCTTTTGGAGCTTATCAAAATCATAAATCACATTATAAATATGTAAGGAGACTATCTCCCCTTCTCGGGGTATCTTTTGTGAGGAAAAGAATGGTGCTTTATTCATTTTTATGGTTCTGCACTGCATGGTGGCTGAGTATCCTGTTTTATCGCCTGAGGCCAGATGATGGAGGGGCTGAATCTCCTGAACAGCAAGCCTTATCATAAGGTCCATCTCAACTGCCCAAACCCCGAGATCCTCAATAAATGACAGATTCTCAGATTCAAAGACAAATTCTCAACTGTCTAAATCTCATATAAGCTTGGTAAAAATAAGATTATTTTGAAAGGCTGGACTCAATTCCATGACCCCAAAATAGTATATTACTTCTCTCTTCTCTAAAAATAAGTACCATGGGCCCAGGGGCAAGTTCCTAGGAAGCCATTCAAAGGAAGTGAACAACTAATCTCTTCTAATCAGCTTTGTCCTTTTATGGGAACAGTCACAAGAATGTAAGTAACCCAATTACCTTTGATTTCAGGGTAGTAGAGAAAAGGTTTGGGTTCGCTAGTTTCCAAATCAGATTTCCTCCGAAGTTGGACAAACACGGAAGCCGGTTTTGTGATGTTGACATCTTTATACTTTGGCGTTTTGAAGACGATGGCAAACTGCAGGATACAAAGACCCAAACATTAAGGTAGGCCTACATTTTGTTTTTCCAGAATGCTACTCATTAAACGTATTAATAATTATGTTTAATTAAACTAAAAAATACAGCATCCTAGAGAACGTTACAAACTCAGAATTCTATACCCATACATTGTGATTAAATTGCCACTGTGAATTAAAATGAGACTATGCTAGGGGTGCCTGGGTGGCTCAGTTGGTTAGGCGTCTGACTTCAGCCCAGGTCATGATCTCGCGGTCCGTGAGTTCGAGCCCCGCGTCGGGCTCTGGGCTGATGGCTCAGAGCCTGGAGCCTGCTTCCGATTCTGTGTCTCCCTCTGTCTCTGCCCCTCCCCCGTTCATGCTCTGTCTCTCTCTGTCTCAAAAATAAAATAAAACGTTAAAAAAAACTCAAAATGAGACTATGCTAATATTTTGCAAATCTTTATTTTTATTTGTCTAATATTTTAAATGCCTTCCAGTTGAAAATAATCATGTGAGTAAAATGCATTGCATACACCTCCTTCTTCTCTTCTAAATCAGCCTTAAAGTGCTCCAAAATTATTTACAAGGCAACATCAGAAAGACTGGTTGTGGAAAGAGAGAGTGAAGAATGTGCTACTACAATGAGCCCACAGGTTGGCTGATGAGAAGAGGAAGCTAAATCCTGCAGAGACATCCTAACAGGGTCCGTGTATTTTGAAGGGAGGATGGCCAACGCTCTAGGGATAGAGGGCATTCTGTAACACCTCTAAGACAACCTCTTCATTAATTTCTGTCAGTGCCACAATAGTTAGGCATTTTTACAGTTTCTTGTTTGATTTTTTTTTTTCACTATGTGGTGTATTCACAAGGTTCAAGACTTTGTAAAATACAGAAAGGTATACAATGGCATATAGTGAAAATTCTCCTTGCCAACTCCCGTCCCCCATCTAGGTGGTCCTCACTGTGTGCCTGTCCCCCGAGGTAAACACAGTGAAATTATTAATTCTTTTTGTATTCTTCCATAGTTTCCTTATGCATATGCAAATGTGAACATTCAATCTTTCTGACATCGCTTGGTTTTATATCTTTAAAAAATTTTTAATGTTGTATGTTTGAGATTTTTTCCATATTCAGAGATTACACATTCTCTTTAATAACTGCGTAATAGTTCATCACACAGACACACCATAATTTATTTACTGGCCACTTACTGGTGGACATTTGGATTGTTTCCAATTTTGTGTGTGTGAAAATCACTCAGAGTGATGGAGATGGGGATATAGCATTTCTATATCTTAGTCATACACTCAGTTGTCACTGGGAAATCTTGATTTATCATGATGATATCAGCCTATAGTAGAAGACTCTTCCTTTCAATGCTTTTCATTAGAAAACCTTTTCAAAAGTGTTGTCATAATTACTCTGGTAGAACACCGTAATGGACTGATTGTGTTCCCTCAGAATTCGTATTTTGAAGCCTTAACCCCTAGTGTGGCGTTATTTGGGGAAATGGCTTTTATGGGAATAATTAATGTTAAATGAGATCATGAGGGTTGGGTTGTGATTGGATAGGATTAGTGTTCCTATAGGAAGAGACACCAGAGAGCTTTCTCTCTCTCTCTCTCTCTCTCTCTCTCTCTCTCTCTCTCTCTCTGTCATGTGGGGACAGAGCCAGAGGCAGCTGTCTGCAAGCCAGGAGGAGAGAGCTTTAAACCAATAACCAACCCTGTTGGGCCTTGATCTGGGACTTCTAACCTCCAGAACTGTGATGAAATAAATTTCTGTTGTTTAATACACCTAATCTAGGGGCGCCTGGGTGGCGCAGTCGGTTAAGCGTCCGACTTCAGCCAGGTCACGATCTTGCGGTCCGTGAGTTCGAGCCCCGCGTCAGGCTCTGGGCTGATGGCTCAGAGCCTGGAGCCTGTTTCCGATTCTGTGTCTCCCTCTCTCTCTGCCCCTCCCCCATTCATGCTCTGTCTCTCTCTGTCCCAAAAATAAATAAACGTTGAAAAAAAAAAATAAAAAAAAAATACACCTAATCTATGGTATTTTGTCATGGCAGTCTGAGCAGTCTAATACAAAAACTTAAAATATTTCCACTAACAGACCCAAGGGCCACTGCCTTAATGGTTAGGTGATCAGACACCCAAATGAAATGTCTTGACATGGTTTCAGAGCCAATGGACTAAGGCTTTGCTCATAATTCTATGGTAGGTGACTTTTCTGGAAGACCTGCAAGAGTCTTAAAAATAGTACTCTTTTATGAAAGTTAAATAAGTATTTTTCCTTTTTCATATATGGAAATTAAGTACTGAATTTCAACAAGACAGAAAATGCAAAATCATCATCATCAGCATTATCATCATCCACTTACTTGTCTATGAACATCTGTGGGAGAAAAATCTCCAAATCCTTCCCAGATTCCACCATTTTCCTCCTCTTCATAAAATCGAATTTGGATGTCATCTGCAAACAGTCACATTCAGGTGTTTAATTTCACATAATAATATTTCACAACATGCTAAACTTTCAGCTGGTTCAAGATTTTACCTACAATGTACTTAAACATTTAAAAAAGTAGTTACTAAGAAATAGACTTTTAAATCATTTGAAATTTTCAAAATTACTGAAATTTTGTTTATTAGTTACCACAGTAATGGACCCTGAGTTTCATTTACATTGAGAGAATACTAGATTTACCTATTCAGTCTGACTTTTCTCTTAATCAGTCTTTGCCTTTCTCACTTCTCCATCACTAACCCAAATCATTCCTGAGGAACATGAAGGATATTGAGGAATATCAGAACCCCAAAAGGTGGTTCAAACTCCCTATAGATCTACATAATAATATTTAACTTACATGAAGTTAACTGCATGGCAAGCACTAATTTAAGTGAATTATATGTATACATTAACTGACTTAACCCCCACAATAACTTTGAAATGCAGGTGTACTATTAATATCCTCATTTTGCAGAAGAGAAACTGGAGTGCAAAGAGATTAAGTAACTCATCCAAGGTTGAACAGCTAGTAAATGGAGAAGCCAGAATTTGAACACAGACTCCATCCAGGCTCACTATCATTCTACTATGCTGCTTCCTTATAATACTTTATCAGTCCACATTGAGAAGTTGTTACAAATATTATATTGGTCAAGTCCCTTTGGATTAGACTGCCTAAATTTCACACTTGCATCATGGACTCTACTTCTGCAGAAATATGACAATATAACTCAGATTGACATCTCTCTGGATTCACTTCCCATTTTATAGGAGGGACTGCACTACTGACTCATGAAAACTAAGTTCATATTTCTATTTAAATAGAATTTTAGGGATGCCCAGGTGGCTCAGTCAGTTAAGCATCCAACTCTTGATTTTGGTTCAGGTCATGATCTCATGGTCTTGTGAGCCTGGGCGTGGAGCCTGCTTAGGATTCTCTCTCTCTCCTCCTTCTGTCCTTTCACTGCTCATACTCTCTCGCTCTCTCAAACAAAAAAAACAAAAAAACAAAACCAAAAACACCCACAGAATTTTAGAAATGTTGGGGTTGGAGGTGGATAAAACATCTCACTATCTCCCGGTTGATTCCTTTTCTTTCAGGTAGGACTCCCTTAAATCTAGTTACTAAGATGTTTTAAGTCAGGCAGCTATAACACTTCTTTTAATAAGAGATGTAATGTAATGATAATGATTAAGAATCACATTTACAAATAAAGGTACTCAGATTGTGTTTACTCACTGTATGCACACCAAGAATTTGGAAATGCATATTACTTGGATACAATGGGTTAAAAGACTAATACCAGGATATGCACAGAAAGTGTAAACATTTTTTGGATAAAGATATATGCCTTTACCTTACAATCCGATCCCATTTTTTCTGACTTTTTAACCTCAGGCCATTCGCCTCAAATGAGAATTTTCTTTTTTTAAAGCCATCCTTCTTTTATTTAGGAGCTGTATTTTTGGTTACACACTCCTTCCTTTGAAAATGCTCATCATCTTGTAGTGAGTAGATCTTTATTACACCATACATTCTATCACTGTATTTTAAAAATGAGTTGTTTGAGAAAATAACACGATCTCCTTCAGCTTTTGCTAGTTTATAAATCTTGTATCATAGCTAATGAAAGGTAAATGCCAAGAATGTTTTCTGAAAGTGAAAATTCTGAGACACATGCTCTGAGAATTTCCCCACGGTTCCTATTCTCTTTCTTTTTCTTAATGACATCAGAGCGTCACATGAAAGTATCTGGAGAAGCTCTCTCAGCTTCTCTCAGTGTTGCAACAAAACCACGCAAGATAAACAAAATAAACGATTTTATCCTATGTAAAGCATTATTTATTCTGTATCCATGTGCATGCGTGTGTGTGTGTGTGTGTGTGTGTGTGTGAGTGTGAAGCATGAACTATTATTACTCATTTATTTTAGTTTAACTAAGTTCAGATAGCAAAATTGAAAGTACAGAAACACTTAAATGTCACTGATTACAATTGTCATTATTTTCTTAATTCTCTTTACTTCTATTGAAAAAAAATCTTTTTAATGTTTATTTATTGGTTTTGAGAAAGAGAGCAAGCATGAGTGGGGAGGGGCAGAGAGAGAGGGAGAGAGAAAATCCCGAGCCCGATGTGGAGCTCGAACATGTGAACCAGGAGATCATGACCTGACCGAAAATCAGGAGTCAGACACTTAACCAACTGAACCAACCAGGTGTCCCACTACTATTAAAATTTTTTAAATGAATTAGTTGGGTTAAAAAAACACAGACATATTTGGAAGAGGTGAAATGTGTAAATTTTCTAAAGGAGTTCTATGGCAGAAGAGGGATATTATGGGATTTACTGTCAAAAAGGGACTCACAGACACACGCAGAATTACATTTCACACCTTGAGACTGGAGCATATATTTACCTTTCTGAACCTTGTCACAGAGAAGGTAAATCTCTTCCCCTCCAGTTACACATCCAGCTGTCCTGTCCATTCTTACAATTTTCAAGTTGGACGCATTGGGGGCTTCTGTCCACAGGAGAAAAACAACAAACATCATGGTTTATCCTCAGCTTCATAAGCCAGTCTCTTATGGGGAATCCTGCTCTTAGCACACATTAACCAAAAGAAAGTTTAAATAGTTTATTGTGACGAGCATTAATATACAGAATTGTTTAATCAATATGTTGTACATGCTAAACTAATATAACACTGTATGTTAATTATACTTTAATTAAAAAAACAAATAGATACTTTCACTCATATCGCTTTAACAAGGATACAAATAAAACAAAAAAACCTTCGCAAGTCTTCAGAAGTCTTCACTTCTTGAGCATGGATCATTCATTACCACTCAAACAGATGGGGCAGAAAGAACAGTGTTTGTTTCTTCTACTAACACAGTAAGAAAGATTCATACAGAGAGAGAAAGAGTTTTTCTGATGTTTCAGGAAGTTCCAAACCAATGGATTCGTGGAATTTCATTTGGGTCAAGACCTTCAATTATTTCCATGATACTGATATACTATTTATAAGAGTCTTAAAAATGTAGAAAAAGCACAATTTTCTTAAATTATTTATACATCTTTATTTTACAGAAAAGAAAAATGGAGCTGTAATATTTCTTTTCCCCAGACTAAATTAGAATTCTGTGTGGTTAGGGGCAAAAGTTTCTTGTGGTAATAGTACAAAGCTTCCTTTTTTTTTTTTTGCTCCCACAGCTGCATTTTAAGGTGATCTTTAGTATACAAGTCTACATCATATTATAACTCTTTCACTTCCCTTCAAACTTGTTGAAATTAGAGAAATCAGTTAGCTGTTGTACTAGAGGCATGGAGTTTTCTACTTAGACCAAACTCTATAAACTTTCAGTGAGCCTAAATATCATGCTTGCAGGCTCTTTTGAAATCTTTGTTCAACAAATCCTGTACATAGCAAACAAGAAATCTGCATGGTAAATGTTGAAGACCATCGTAAAACTTTTTAAAAAAGTTCTAGGAAGTACAGACTGAAATAGAATTTTGAAGCCATGTACTATCTATGCTACTCATTCAGCTAACCTTCCTATCTTGATAAAAGCTGTACTATGTAAGAATGAAGATGGACTAGAATAACAGTTGTTTTTATTAACATCTCTTTAGAGCCTCAATGAAAAATATTGAGGTATTTTTCTATCTGAGAGTACCAACAGTATAGGAATTCATAAATAATAAAAGATTTGCCATTGTGAAATGGCATGTAAGAGACCAACATGTACATGTGAGGAAGGATAACCATATTTATTGGGCACCTCATAACATTCACTTCTAATCTAGACATCAACTTTTTTTTAAGTTTATTTATTTATTTATTATTTATTTATTTATTTTTACTGTTTTTATTTATTTTTGAGACAGAGAGAGACAGAGCATGAATGGGGGAGGGGCAGAGAGAGAGAGAGAGGGAGACAGAATCGGAAGCAGGCTCCAGGCTCCGAGCCATCAGCCCAGAGCCCGACACGGGGCTCGAACTCACGGACCGCGAGATCGTGACCTGGCTGAAGTCGGACGCTTAACCGACTGAGCCACCCAGGCACCCCAAGTTTATTTATTTTTGAGAGAGAGAGAGAGAGACAGAGAGAGAGAGAGAGAGAGAGAATCCTAAGCAAGCTCCTTGCTATTAGTGCAGAGCCCAACACAGAGGCTCGATTCCATAAACCAGGAGATCATGACCTGAGCTGAAATCAAGAGTTGGACCCTTAACCGACTGAGCTACCCAGGCGTGCCTAGACATTAACTTTTTAAGCTAGAATTTAGCATTCCCATTTTGTAGACAATAAATGTGAGGCTCCAAGTGATTAAATTACTTGTCCTGGGACTTTGAGCTAGTAAGTAACTGCCAACGGTAGGGTTAGAAGTCGGTGCTTAATGCTACACCAAGCTGCCTCCTGTTAGAATTCAAGGACTCACTGCTGTCATAGATGGCATCTGATACCACGGGTTCCAGGCGCCTTGTGAAGCTGCCGGTGCTATCTGGGAGAAAAGCTGTAAACATGAGCCGCACCACGCTGAGGTCCATCTCCTTTGTCTGCTGAAGAGCTGCCTGGCGGATGATTTCCTTTTCCCGATCTAGGACCATACAGCACCGTGCATTCATACCCAGGGAAAGAGTAAAGTGAGCACGTTTTAGATGAGATGCTTTTGTAAAGCCCAAATAAAGAACAGAAGTTAAAATAACTCTATTTTTTCTTTTGCAAGTATTTGTATTGCTAATAAAATTTTAAAAATTGTCTCATTTATATCACCCATATTAAAGGCATCAAAAGAAGACCTGGATTTTCTCTGGATTACAGTAAAAACTGTCCTCTGTGTATCAAATTACCTCTCTTCTTCTTTTTTTTTTAAGTTTATTTATTTTTGAGAGACAGGGAGAGAGACAGTGAAAGCACAAGCAGGGGAGGGGCACTGAGAAGGAGAGGGAGAATCCCAAGCAGGCTCCGCGCTGTCAGCACAGAGCCTGAGGCAGGGCTCAGATCTCATGAACTGTGAGATCATGACCTGAGCCAAAATCAAGAGTTGGACACTTGGACAGAGCCACCCAGGTGCCCCCAAATTGCCCCTCCTCTTTCTTATCTTCCCCTGACCTCTCCTTTTTCTCCCTACAATTATAGTTAAAGACAGAAAAGATGTGACATAATGGAATGCAACAAGCTGATTACACATCAGTTGTATTGCAAGCTGTGAAAATTAAGTATTCCAAAAGCTTTGTGAGCACAGGGACTACGTTCATTCCACAGTGCCCAGCACAGTGCCTGGCACATAGCAGGTACTCAAAAAGTGCTTCTGGAGAAAGTGAATGACTCAACTGCATTTGACTCCTCCTTTACCTCCTGGTGGAGCTTTTGTGCTGATGGATATAGTCATATTTAACTTACTACATCATCAGGGGTGATAATTCAAGTGGTGAGTACTATAAAAGAGCTACAGATGAAGAGGTATGGAATTGCAAAGGAGGGGAGCATCCAGAGGATTTGGAACAGAGGAGATGTATGTTCTAAATCTTGAAGGGATGGTACAACTTGAACTCATGAAGAGAGTAAAGGAAGGCATTCCAGGAAGAGGGAGCGCAAGAATAGAAAGAATGTGCCATGGTGAGGAAGTGAGAAATCATGGTGCCTCTGTGGAATAACTCAGTTTGACAAGAAGGTATGCAGTGGGAAACAGTTGGAAACGCAGACTGGGGCCAACTTACAGAATTGGGATTTTGTAGGCAGCAGGGCAATACTGAGCGGTGGTGAGGTGTAGGCTTTTGTGAGACCCATCTGGTCACAGGGTATACACTGGATCACAAGTGGGGAGGGATAGAAGCAGAGCAAGGAAAATGGAGTGAGGAGTGGAGTGTGCGAGAGAGCACGGAAGAGCAGGGCCACAGACTAGAGATGCAACACAAGCAAGAAGGGTTCGGAGGTGATGGGAAGGTTTTGGGTCTGGATGTCAGAACACGTTCAGTGGAAAAACAGTGATCGATTTGGGGTTGCCGGAGTAGGAGGTGATCACAGGATTACCAGACCAATGGACAAGGTTTAAAAGCAGACACTTTTGTACGTGTGGTAGGACAAGGATTGGAGTTGAAAGAGAAAAATACAGGTAAAAGCAGGAAAACATAAAATCATAGCATTTGTATGAGAAAGAGAATAGTTTATGATGTGCCTGAAGAGCCCAAAGAGATTCCTTACCATAATGTGAGCGGGGGAAGGCAGAAGAAGAGGTGTTCTCTGAACTAAGTGTTGAACTATGAACTGGGTTTGACAGGCTGGAAAGGGCAGGGTGGGATGTTTTAGGTAGGTACCTACAGAGGTATGAATATGCATCATTTATCGGGGGGTAGTGATGGGGAGAGGTGGGTACATGATGGAATTGGAGATGAATCTGGAAAGGTGGCTGGGGCCAGACTGAGAGCTTTGTGTACCAAGCTAGGGAGATACAAATTTTATTCTAGAAAATAGCAGGATGCCGTCAAAAGGTTTCTGAGCAGGGAAGGTGTGGTGGTGGTGGGGGGCACTAAAGTCTGGGAGAAGGAGAAACATGATACACACAGAGGAGCACCTGGTCTACACACAAGCAAAGGAGAGCCTGATCTTGAAGGATCAAGGTTGGTGGCATGGCACTCACCTGTGAGCTGCCGGTCTCCTCCGCCTTCTGCTTGCAAATAGGCAAGATCAGGATGTACCAGAAGTCCGGGATTGTAGCCCTTTGTACATGCCTCTGTCATTCGTGCTTCCAGTGTTTCAAATACTTTTTTCTTTGTCACGTGAAGTATACCTAAGTTTGCAAAGCTGGAGAAAAAGGCAGAAACAGCCACAACAAGCACTAAAAGTTAGGCAGTCAATGACTAGAATCTGGTTTCACTTTAGCAAAATGGCTTTTAAAAAACACACAGGCCTCAATCACTGGAGCCCACACTGTAATCAAACACATTACTATTTCTACAGTGAAACATATAGAGTAGACTTACCAAGGAATAATAAAGACTATAAACCACCATACATCGGGTCAGATTGGGTTTTGCCACCATATGAGTCTGTGGCGAACTCAGCAAAATCTTCTGGTTTTCAGAGTTTATTAGATTTTCAAATGATGATTAAGTGAGTAGGGTATACGTGTGTGTGTGTGTGTGTATACATACATATACATATATGTATACACTACTAAGGAAGTTTTACCTAGACTCATTTTAAACAATTTTCTAGGACAGTTGTTTAAATTTTTTTTCAAATTCTGAATACAGTACTAACTTATCTAAATTGTTTTTTAAAGAATAAGAATAATATTATAACTTGAAGAATTTTTTTCTTTTGGCTTTCTGGATAGGATTTAAAGTCTACATGGAGTCCCATCTTCTGTTGGGTGATCTGTGAGGCTGCAATTATTACCACTAGAATGCCATCGAATTCTCCATGTTTTCAGGATGGAGCACTTTTATCTCATGAAGCCTACATACCTATAGGACAAAACATTTTAATAAGCTAAATAAAGCAATTTAAGGGATTTTAAAGAAAATATACAAAATACTCCAGCCACTAATTTTTAAAGTTCATGAAACAAAAAAGTATATTCAATAAACATAATACAACAAACAAAAAAGTACTTTAGCAAGGAGACCCATTCATTCAACAAATATTTGTTCAGCTCCTTATTAGTGCCAGGCAGTGTCCTGGATGCTTCTGTCAGCACTCAGGAATCCCTCCCTCCATAGAATTTATGTGCTAGTGTAACCAGAGAGAAGAAACAAATAGAGAAGCAAATTTTACGGTATAATTGAGAAGGCATTAAGAGTACCAAGAAATAAATAAATAAAATAAATAAATAAGGTGGGAATGGAGAAAAGGAAAGGTACACTTAGAAGACATGATGCTTTAAAGTAGGGATAGGCCAGAGAGGGCATCACTGAAATGATGACAAATGAGCAATGACTGAAAGAAGGTGAGGGAAAAGATGTGGATATACGGAAAAGTATTCAAGGTGGAAAGAGTAACAAGTTCAAAGACCCCGAGGGAGGACCATGACTGGTGTTTTCGGGAGACAATAGCAAGGAGGCCAATGCTGCTGGAGGAAAATCAGCAAGAGGCCAGTAGTAAGTGAAAAGTTCAAAGAGCCGGGGAGCCTGTGTGGCTCAGTCAGTTAAGCATCCGACTCTTGATTCTGGCTCAGGTCACGATCTCATGGTCAGGAGATCAAGCCCCATGTTGGGTTCATGCTCAGCGCAGAGCCTGCTTGGGATTCTCTCTCTCTCTCTCTCCCTCTCTCTTTGCCCATCTCCTGATCTCTCTCTTCCTCTCAAAATAAATAAATAAACATTTAAAAACAAAAAGAAAAGTTCAAAGAGCAAAGTGGGGGCACAGATCTTTTAAAGCCTTGTAAGCTTTTGCCAAGACTTTTCTTTTGCTCTGGCTTTTATTCAGAAAGAAAGAAAAAAGATTAGTAAGGGAAAGACAGAAATATTGTAACAACTGCACTAGATGAAACAAAGACAAAAATAGTTTAAAATAATAAGGACTAAGATGGTGTGGGAAGACCAGATGAACCAGGCAAAGAAAATATAGAAGGTGAAGGCAGAATGAGATGAGCACTCATACAGAGGTCCAGAAATACAATGAGACATGTGTCCAGACAGTGATAGAAAAAGTAGGACATGATCGTGGCATAATGTATAAATTTATTAAATCACTATGCTGTGCACCTGGGACTAATGTAAACATTGTGTGTCAATTATACTAAAAAAGAAAAAGTAGAATAGCTGAGACACACAGAGAAGAAAACAGACCAAAAGAATATAAACTCCTGAGGGCAGAGATCTCTGGTGCTTAGAAGAGTGCCTGACATATGGGTGTCTAACACATATCTGTTGAATAAATGAATGCATGAATTAGCACAGCACAGAAAAGGTGCAATGGGACATGATGACATGCCTGGAGGCACAGGTAGTTTTTTAATAGAAACAACACCTCCATCTTTTGGCCTTTTAGGCTGGACTCCTATATACAACATGTACCTCCATATAGGTGATGACACTGGCAAACATCTGTTACACTTTACCACATATAAAGTGATTTTCATGCACATTATTTAACTAATTCCCGTGAAAAAGGCATCATCCTTATGTGAATAACTTATTTACTCTGGTAATAAATGGAACAATATAGAAGCCAGTCTTCTGTTTCAGATAATGATGGGAGTAACAGAGACCAGATTGAATCTTTCACCTTACATAACATAAAGCATATGAAAAAATGGTTTTCCAACACTGAACAATGGCAGCACAGGACACTGATCCTTAAGAGATCAACTAAGGTGAATCCTACAATTACGCTGGTTTAATGCCTAGAGTTTAAATTTAATGCCTAGAGTTTAAATTAATTTAAAGACACATACATTGAAATAGCTATTATGGATATATTGTATAGGGTCAAGATAATAAAAACCTTTAGAATATTAAGGAGACACATGGAAGATATTAAAAAAAAGACCTCCAACAAACCTATAGAGATGAAAAAACTGAAATGTCTCAAAAGAAAAATATACCGAATGGAATGAAAAACAGATTAGACACTACAGACAAAAGGATTAGTGAACTTGAGAACACAGTGATAGAATTGTTCAAAATGAAACACAGGAAAAAGAACAAATTTTAAAAAGAACAGATCTCCAGTGAGCTGTGGGATAATTTTAAAAGCCAAATACACATGTAATTGGTGCTTCAGAAAAAGAGGAAAATGAGGAGTGGATGGAAAAAATATTTTGAAAAGTAATAGCTTTTAAAATTTATTTTAAAAAACTATAAACCCAGAGATCCAAAAATCTCAATGAACCCCAAGCACAAAAAACATGAAGAAAACTACATTAATGCCCATTTAATCAAACTGCTTCAAATTAGTGAGGAGAAAGGAAAAACTAATAAAGAGAAAATCTAGAGCTGATAGAGAAGATATGGCACTTGATGTGATGAGGAACAAAATATCAGGAGGGCAGCAGACCTCTTGATGGAAGCAAGGCAAAAGCCAGAACACCTATGGGGTAGCATATTTTCAGAATGTGAAAGAAGAACTCTGTCAACTTGGAATTCTATATTCTTCAAAAATATCTTTCTAAAACAGAGACAAAATAAAGAGCTTATAGACGTTTGATAACTGAAGAATTGATCAGCAGCAGACCAGCAGTAGAAGAAAAAGGAGAGGAAGGGCTTCAGGCAGAAAAAAATGGCACCAGATAGAAATCTTGACCTATGAAACAGAATGATGAGCACTGTAAATGATAAATACATGTTTAAATATAAATACTTTTTTCCTTATTTAAAATTTCTTTTAAAAGAGAATTGAGCATAGGGGCACCTGGGTGGGTGGCTCCGTTGGTTAAGCGTTTGACTTTGGCTCAGTCATGATCTTGTGGTTGACCAGTTCGAGCCCCATGTCAGACTCTGTGCTGACAGTTCAGAGCCTGGAGCCTGATTCGGAGTCTGTGTCTCCCTGTCTCTCTGCCCCTCCCATACTCATGCTCTGTCTCTCTCTGCCTCTCAAAAATAAATAAATGTTAAAAAAGAAAAGATACTTGAGCATTAAAAACAAAAAACAATATATTGTGGAACTTATCACATATATAGATGTAAAATAGAGTACAGAATAGCACAAGGGCCGAGAGGGGAAACTGAAGTGTTGTTCATATATGATATATGAAGACACACAGTGTTACTCAATGGGAGACTAAGATAAGTGAAAGATGTATATAGTGTAACAAGCTGTAAAACAACTTCTAAAAACTATAGAGGTATAAACCAAAAGGAAGATGAAATAAAATCATAATTAATCTAAAAGAAGGCAGAAAAAAGAGGAAAAGGGGAACAAAAATCAGATGTGACAAGCAGAAAACAAATAGCAAGAGGGTAGAATGAAACTCAGCTCTATGAGTAATCAGATTAAATACAGATTATTTAAACACCTCAATTAAAAGGCAGAGAGCATCGGATGGAATAAAAATAATAAGACCCGGGGCGCCTGGGTGGCGCAGTCGGTTAAGCGTCCGGCTTCAGCCAGGTCACGATCTCGCGGTCCGTGAGTTCGAGCCCCGCGTCAGGCTCTGGGCTGATGGCTCGGAGCCTGGAGCCTGTTTCCGATTCTGTGTCTCCCTCTCTCTCTGCCCCTCCCCCATTCATGCTCTGTCTCTCTCTGTCCCAAAAATAAATAAACGTTGAAAAAAAAAAATTAAAAAAAAAAAAATAATAAGACCCAACTGTATGCGGTGCATATTTACTTTGAATATTAAGACATAAACAGCTTAAAACTAAGAGGATGGAAAAAAAAAATGTTCCAAGCTAAGGTTAATCAAAATAAAGCTGAAATAGGTAAAACAGTATCAGTCAAGGTAGATTTTAGAGCAAAAATATTACCAGGGATAAAAGAGGGTCATCTCATAATGATAAAGGGATCAATTCATTGAGTGGACATAAGAATCCTAAATGTTTATGTATCTAATAGAAGAACTTCACAATACAAGAAGCAAAATCTTACAAACTGGAAGAAGAAATAGATATATCTATAAATATAGTCTGAGATTTCAACACCCATCTGTCAATAATTTCTAGAACAAGTAGTGGGAAAGTCAGTAAGGATACAGAAGACTTGAACAACACTATCACACAACTTGACCTGACATTTTAGAACATGCATTCAACTTGATTAGACTAGCCATTCTTTTTAAGTGCACAAGGAACATTTACCAAGACATAACATATTCTGATCCATAAAGCAAGTCTCAATAAACTTAAAAGGACTGAAATCATACAAAGTATCCTCTTAACAGTACTGAATTAAATTAGATATCCATAAATGAAAGATATCTAGGCAGGGGTATATTTAAATGAAGATGTAGTAATTAATTGTTGAAGCTGGGTGATGAGTACAATGGGGGTTCATTATGCTATGCTTTCTACTTTTGTGTATGTTTGAAAATTTATAGAATAAAATGTAAAAGAAAACAAAAGTGGACATTTGTATTAAAAAACAGCACATGCAACTTAAAAAATCGAGAATCATAAATGTTAATACATGGGAATTCAAGATGATACAGCCACTTTGGAAAACAATATGGTAGGTTCTTATCAAGACAAATGGACTCTTAGCATCTGTCCCTTCATTTTCACTCCTCTGTATTTACCCAAGCCCCCCAAAAATGAAAACTTATGTTCACACAAAAAGTGGTTCTCTCATCCAAAATGGAAAATAAACTTCATGTTCTTTAGCAGGTGGATTGATAAACAGACTGTGATACATCAATACAATGCAATACTACTTAGTAATGAAAAGGAATAAGACCGCTGATACACACAACAACCTGGAGGAATCTTAAATGCATGATGCTAAGTGAAAGAAGCCAGACTCAAAAAGGCTACATATCGCATGATTCCATTTGTATGTCATTCTGGAACATTCCTATATGTATAGGAGACAGATAAGGAGTTGCCATGGGCTGGGCTGCAAGGTAGAGCTGACTCTAAAGGGGCACACAGGATTTTGGGGGGCAATGGTACTATTCTATACCTTCCTTGACTGTGATTCTTATTTGAGTACTTGTAAAAATTCATAGACCTGTACACTTTAAAGAGTTAATATTAGAGGCGCCTGGGTGGCTCAGTCGATTGATTGTCTGACTTCAGCTCAGGTCATGATCTTGCAGTCTGTGAGTTCGAGCCCCACGTCAGGCTCTGTGCTGACAGCTCAGAGCCTGGAGCCTGCTTCGGATTCTGTGTCTCCCTGTCTCTCTGCCCTTCCCCGCTCGCACTCTGTCTCTCTCTCTTTCTCTCAAAAATAAATCAAAACTAAAAAAAAATTTAAAAAGTAATATAAAGTGACCAAAAGTGACTTTAATTAGCAGCCAGGTTTGAAATCCTCTGCACTGTGCCAGATGTTTCCATCATCATCATCATCATCATCATCATCATCATCATCTGAGAACTACTGCTGCCCTCTGGCTTGGTTTGAATCCCCATGTCATTAGGTTGGGATTCTACAGTGGCCCTTCCATCTGGCCCTTCTACCTGTCAGGACTCAAACACTGATTTACAGCTGGCACAAGATTCAAAAGCACCCCTGACTCACAATATATACTTTAATTTGGAAGTTGGACACTTCCAATTTCACTCCATATTTTGTCCATTTTCTCCAAACAGCATCTTTTCTGTGTATTAAGGTTTAATATTATGAAACTGCTAGTAATCGTTTTTGGACCTACAAAACCACCAATTTAATAGCTCATTGATGGAGGCCTTGTTTCTCTTTTATATTTATATATTTACTTCTAGTGCTTACAATTGGTATATGCTGTAAATATTAGTTAAAAAAAAAGACTTCACATCTCTCTAAATTAGGGCTGCCAGGAAACAGAGGGTGTGGTGATTATTGGTAAGGAAAGTGGCTTAAAGCAAAGTCAAGTAACAGATAGTTTCCACTGATTGAAAACTTCAGAGAACTAAAATGTTGTTGAAACACATTGTTGACCTTCAAGGTCAAAAATAAAACGCCAAATTAAAATTATTTTTATGAGGACAGACACTAACAGTTAACTAAACAAATGAGTAAGAAATACGAAGACAAAATGAAAGCTAAATAAAAAAAAAAAAGTCTTAAGGTAAAACCCCACAGATTTAAGCACTCAAACCTTCAATCATGCCTTAGTCATCAAAAAATGAGTATTTTAATATGGATAGCAAAATATATTTGAAAATAGAAACTAAATTTTATTGATAAACCTAAAGAAAAGTTAATTCTTTGGTTTTGATAATTTATTTAATTTTTTTTTATTTTTTTAATTTTAGTTTCAGTATAGTTAACATATGGTTTTGTTGTACAATATAGTGACTTGACAGGTTCGTATATTACTCAGTGCTCATCAAGGTAAGTGTACTCCTAATCCCATCTCACCCATCCCCTACCCATCACCCCTCTGGCTTTGATAATTTAAAAGTTATTTATCTCCTCAGTGTCATTTTTTATAGATCCTCTTTGATGTGCTGGATTGGTGCCCTGCTTGTGAATATATACTCTTAACCTAAGCTATATTAATGAAAATAGGTAATCTTGATTCCATTTCTAGTATTGACAAATCTAAGGAATAACTCTGGCTATCTTCCTAAATTTCTCTCTGTGCTATTCTTACCTACAAGTTAGAACCAAATAATAATAATCAATGACACTCCATAAATAAGTATGTGGCAAGTCTGCTCATGTTATTTTGTAGTATTAGCTAATAGTTCATACTAGAATTCGTGAGAGGTAATAGGCCTGGAGATAAACTATGTAACCCAATGCTGATATTGTATAAGAGAAGAAGTTAAAGTGCTCAGGAAGTCATGCAAATTGTCCCCAATCCTACTGTTGAGTGTGACAGAAATGAAAATAGAATTCTGGTTTCCAGACTCCTAGCCTGATATTCTCTCTACTAACATGTAACAGGTTCTGACATCGGAAACTTAAAAAAAATTAAAAAGTAAGAGAGACAAATAAATCATGAAGGAAATATTATATTTTAGGAAACACTGTAAGCATAAGTTTCTCAGCTAAAAATCGATTATAAAAGGATTACCAGTGTTTCATAGAACACTCTGAAAAGGAAAGTCTAATGAATCTATTGTAACTTTTAAGTGGCATCCTCTTGACTAAATTTCTCAGTGAAACTGTATAGGGTCACAGAATCCCGCATCACTATGATGAGACATCTTGATAACCAAACTTAGGTTGTGTAGATGCTCAAAATGTTTGTTGAATGAATGAGTGAATGAATGAGTTCTCCCAACTATGGAACTCCATTACAAGAGAGGAAAGGATTTCCTCCCTTTCCTTAGAAACAGGGAACTTCTACTCCTGCTCGCTGTAGGTCTCAAACTAAATAACCATTAGTTCCTTCTAAAACCCTGGAAGATTACTAAGCCAAGCCACAGAAACACCAAATTATAGACAACATACTGGCAGCTTTATAATAACAAATATTATTAGTAAGGAACTTCATCTATAATTTCCTCTAAAGGCTGTGATTATCACACAGATTAAACAGAACCAACACTTCAAACTGACAGCAGCCTTTTGGGGTAAATCCGCAGAAACACTAAGTGATCAATTAGTCTGAAACTCTGACAATTACCCTGCATTTCAAAGCTCTCCTAGGTCAGTCAGGAACTGTAAAGAGTAGTCCAAAACAGACGAGGAACCAACTGTGACATACAACAGGAAACAGGCCAGTCTTTCAAGAGAATGTTGAAACAAGTTCATATAAAGCACAACAGAATTTTTCAAATCAATTTAAACTTCTTCCTCCAATCTAGAGTCTTTTTTTTCTCCTAACATCAAAAGAATCAGATTTTAGTGACTTAAAAGAAAGCTCTCTCTCTAGGTTTTTCACACTTGAATATTTTCACAGTCAAACAAAGAAATACCTAGGAACATGAAAGTTCAACCTCCCCAATAACAACCAACTTAAAACTTGATCGGAATTCAAAGCCTGAAATGCTACCATCAACTTAATTACAGTTGATATAAATAATTCCTTTCTTTTGAGTGAATAGTCCAGATTAACTGGGATTTTATCATGAACTGTTTAAACCAGCAGTAGGACACCCTAGAAGACATTCTTAAAAATTAAACAAAATTTAAAATTTCTTACTCCTTTTGGGCTGAATTTATTTTGTAATACTTCATTCACTTAAAATTCCTTGTTCTATCTGTCTAACTCTTAAATGAGTATGTCCCTTTGTATTTACATTTCAAGTCTAATGAATGCCAAAACAAATTTGCATTCCTTGGCTTCTTAATCTGAGCACACTTTCTAAACAGCATAGAACTGAAACAATATTTATCTATCTATTTCATGGTTAAAATGTTCACGCTATAAATCCAAACTCATTAGTTCATTAAAAGAATCATCAAGGTGTTTATTTTTGCCACAGTTAGGTTTCTTCTAATTAGTCCATATCTTTATCTCCAGAAGGAAGATACTGCTGAAAGTGATACAAACGCTTCATACATGAAGTAACCATAATTTATTACCCCCCCTGGGCCACTTTCGAAAGGGGGTGCTATAAATAATTTGGCCAGGACCACAGGTACAAAGTCAGGAAAACCCAGACATGTGGGTAATCTTTCTCCTGGGAGCTCAAGTGAGAACTCACCTTTTCATTTTAAGGCCCTCTGAGGATCTTGGGCAGGTTCCTAATGAAAGGGGTGTGTTCCAAGTCTTCGGGTGCCATGTTTATCTGATCATACCTTCCAAGGTATCATCCACCCTCACTTACCCGACCACCATGTCCTTGGGTCCGGCGGTTACAGTGCAGATCCCATCCTCACAGTGTTTTCCCACCAGGCTGTGTGCATGCAGGTGGATGTTTTTTCCATTTGTGACCAACTGAACAATAACCTTTGCAGGTCCCACATAGTTGCAGATCTATACAAGAAGCACATTGAAAAAGTTAGTACATCTGACTATACTGCAGCGTGGAAAAACACTTAAGACAAACCAGTAAGTATAAAAAGTACGTGATACAATATTAGGCATACCTATACATATAGGACCACAGCTCCATTTTTCAAACTAGGTGAGGAGCAAATGGTGGGATAGAGATCAATTAAAATGCTAATGCCGGTTGTTAGTTGTGTGTGGAGAGGATACACTCCCGCAGCAGGTCATTTCTAATGCTGCATGTACTGCTAAAGTTGGAATAGCACATCTCTGCTGCTGTGTAGCCATGAAGCGTCCCTTTCCTACTAACCAAGAACACACTTCATCTGCACCCTCATCACAACGGCCAGCCATGAGTGCTGGGAAAAGATCCCTGAGAAGGGATTTGGGACTGATGGATTGATGGAAATAGAAGGAGAGAGAGGAGTAGAAACAGTGTACCTCAAGTCTCTGCCATGAGGTTAGGCAGGAGGTGGAGTCTTGCCAGGGAAGGGGCTCTGAAATGTCCTCGGTCAGGACACATCAGCCTTTGGCAGCGCTCTCTGCTATGAGCTCTGACAACTGAGTTACGTATATCCGGGTCGCAGTACGTCAATTCAAATAAATGCACTTCCTACGTGCAAATCCTTAGATCTGACACCTACTTAGCGCTTGTCTTATAAAACTGTATTTTTCCACTTAAGATAACTCATCTTTTTAATTGTTATGCCTTTAAAATGATGACAACAGCAATAAAAAGGAAGTAGCATGGAGAAAATGGCATTTTAAAGCAAAGACAGCTTGGACACCCTTCCCCTTCTAGTTGGTCCTCCAGCCCCCTATAGCAAGTAGACCACAGATTCCTCGCTTGAGAAAGCCCCAATATTAAAATCATACTAACAGAATAGACCAATTTGCCTTATTTTTACTTTTCTGAATCCCACAAGGCAAAATTCTGTGATAAATTCAGCCAAACTATTGGAAATGCACTATATTTCCTCAAAGGGTAACCAGGCACCCTGGTTTGCCTGGGACAGGGTGGGGGGTGGGGTTCCCAGGGCTTTCAGGCTAACACTGGGAAGAGTTCGTCACCCTATTTCCTTAGCTCATATTTTCTCCCTTTGAGGGAGTGAGTGAACCTAAACCCAGGATCTCCCAACCATATGATCATTAGAGATATTTTAATCTGTACAAGCAGCCCATAGCTTGGAAGGAAAAGAAAGTGGACAGGAATCCCATCTAGCCACGAATCCTTGATGTAAGTCTTTCGGACATAAACTTGAGGAAGAACCTACACTTGCCAATTAAATTTCTTGGAAAAAGACAGAATCCCTTTCAACCAGTCTACTTCTATAAATACCATCAAACAGATCCATATTCCATTGAGGCAAGGTTTTGTTAGGATTTTTTCAGTATGGATTTTTTTTTTCCCGCAGTCCGATTTCTCATTGCAAGAGTTGAGAAGAAGTTGATCAGGGCTGGGACCGTTTGGCAGAGGGTTTGGGGGAGAGAAGTTTCCTGCCCTGAGCAAAGGACAGAATCCTTTCTAATCAACAGTGCAGCTCCCCTCAAAAACCCTAGGGCCTCTTTGCCCGAACTTCGGCCCAGAGCTGCTGCTAAAGTTTGCTTTCAAACCCTGTAATGCTCCTTCCCAAGAAGTGGCCTTCTGTCCTTGCAGAGGAAACTCATCACAAAGAACGTTAAGGATTAAATTCGTTTTTGACCACCAGCTCAAAGCACAAATAAATAATTTCTTAAATAGGTACAGCACTTAAAAAAGCCTTCTGGGCATACAAATAATTATGAACTTGGTTGCTTTCCCTTTTAAAAGAGGCAGAAGAAAGCCTCTGTCCTTCAGGACAGGACAGGACAGGGAATGAAAAGTTCTGGGTTTGCTCCAAAACTGGCTGTTGTGCCTGCATACCCCCTGGACTGCCGATGCCAGTTCAGGGCCGTGGTGTCAACATGTGAGATCAGCCTTTGTTATGATGACATATTCTACAGGGACTTCTTTAGCAGTAAATGAACAGTGAAAAGCACTAAATAGACCATGTAATTGCACTTCTAAGTGCATGGAGCACAGAAATGCAACAGTGTAAGGCATGATGAAATGCTTCACTTGGGTGAAATCAGGGAGGCTTTCCACCTCTGCAGAACATCGGAAGGAATCCAGCGATCAGAGCCCCATCGCTCTGGATAGTGGGACCCGTCAATGTCCCTACTGGGAAGGAATCAGTCACAAGCACTGAAGGAAAGAGTGGGAGGTGTCCTCAAAAAGTACTCACATCTTTTTCTTGCTATTACTTCATGAGCGAAGGGTGGCAAGAATGAGGAACTGAGTAGTCTCTGAGGTAAAAGGACCTGAAAAAGTTGCCAGTGACTAATGTGCAGTTTGATCCATTTGAAAGACTTCAGGTCAGCATGGCATCATCTGGTTTTTACATCGACCACAGGGCAACGACAGGGAGGCCCCTGGGTTTTGTGGACTTTCCAAAATACTGACTGAAAGAAGAAAGCTGAAGTGCGGGGACAGAAAAAAAATGATACTATTTTCAGGTTATGTGGCAGATAAAGAAAATGGAATTCTACCTTAGAGGAGGGTGTGTTTCAGAGAATGCCACCATGACTGAGAGCTATTTGCAACTGATTCAGAAATTCGTGTCTTCTACAGAGAATTTGGTTATTTTTATTCAGCCTCCCATTTACTTCTTTGAATAGTGGTTCCCTTGAAAATTACCTTTACAGAAAGCAACTGTATCTGCCAGGAAGGCTGGGTTTATTTTTGAAAGAGTCTGAACATAGCAGGGTCTTAAATGCTAAGAGTTTAAATATAAGTTAAGCTTTTCAGTGAAAGCAAGCAATGTGAGTAATCAGCTACCGAGAGACACTGTAAGCGTGTACTCCGGGGGCAGACTGGCTAGGTTTGAAGACAGTTTCACCATTTACTAGCTGTGTGACCTTGGGCACTATTTGGTTCCTTGTTGTAAGGATTAAATATGTTAGAGTCTTTAGAACATGGCCCAGCAAATAAGAGCAATATACAGTGTTAACTATTATCTTCTCGATCCCTGTAATGGACTCCCCTCCCTGGAGATATTAGATACACCTGCCCTGAGGTGATTTTTTAAAAATTCTGTCTTAAAAGACCAATTCGGGCCACTTTTATTCCTAGGGTAAGTTCCCCCTCCATCCCCCCCCCCACCCCTCACGTGACATATTTTATTGGGCTTTGTTAATTTTCTAATAATAATTGTGTTATTACAGTAACAGCTATCATTCTTGGAGGTGCTCGGGATTTCTCAGCTCCCTTGATGAAATTAAGCCTTTCTTCCAGGAGCTTTATGACTCAATACCTACTGATGATCACGGGCTTTTTGAGTAAAAACCAGAAACCTAGTGTCGCAGATAATACCAAACTGAGTCAAATCACCTCCTTTTATTTCAAGTTACTCTGACATGCTCTAGCAAAGTTCATACTGGTTCTTAAGAGGTGATTAACTAGGCTGAAATTTTCTTGGAATTAGAATTTGAAATGTCCAGTTTACTTACTAAGTAAATTTGACCACATCACTCTGGCAGAAGAGTCAACATGAATGTATGATGGTGACACATGAAGTAGGTCTTTTCTGCTTAGTTTTTCTCATGAAGGGATGATGGTGATGATGATAATTGGTGGGAAGAAGGAGGAAAAACATCCACAATTTTCAAACAGAAATCTACGCTAACTTTACTTGCATACTTTGTCCTCTACTGCTAAAGCAGCAGAGCAGAGCAATGTGATTAAATCCAAGAGCTCTTAAGTCATGCTGCCAGGCTCAAATCCCTCTGCTGCCACTTATCAGAGCCGGGTCAACAGGGAAAGATGGTTAACATCTCTGGACATCAATTTCTCCATCTTTAAAATGAAAGGAACAATGCAGTTGATTTCACAAATTGTTTGAGGATTAAGTGAGTGAATACATCCCTTGGCACCTAATGGGATTAGCAAACTCAAGGATAAACCCATTCTCCTCTCCAGGCTATTACTTCACTGATAACCAAAAATGTACCCATTTATTCAGTATTTATTAGGTTCCTTCTAAGTTTCATGCACTGCATGCAGTAGGTCAGGGAGTGAAGGGATACAACGTGAGTGCAAAACAGATAGAACTTCTGTTCTTATGGGAATTAAAGAGCGGGGCTGATACTACTCAAAGAATCCCACAAAGAAATGTAAATGCCCAACTGTGAAGCCCTTACAAAAGACATACATAATGGAGATTTGACCTGATCAGGAAGTCAGAGAAAGCTTCCTGAGGGAGTAATGAGGGCTGAGCTCTGAAAGAAGGGCAAGAGTGTAACAAAGGAAGGTGTGGGTGGGAGACAAGGAGCTGAGAAGAGTGTTCCCAGTGGGGAGAACAGGATGTACAAAGGCACTGTGGTGAGAGTCCCCCTCTTTGTCTCCCCAACCATACTCCTTACTACCTCGGGGCGGGGGGGGGGGGGTGTCCCTCCCTTCTCTTTCTTATTTAGAACCACTCATTCCTCAAAGGTAAGACCTAAATATGAATCTTCCATGGCACTCTCCTCACTGCTCTGACCCACAAAAATCCACTACTGTCCCCTTTTGGGGAGAATGTGATTGGAGTGGGGCAGGAACACCAAATCAACTGATTACAAGAAGGTGGTAACACCAATTGGCAACTAAAGGGTTATTGGCTTATCTCTCTTGCTTGTTAAACTCCCAGAGCACATACACCAATACCTCCTACCATACTGTTCTCGTGAAAGGGAAGGGAGTATGTTTACTCAGCCAATCTTCACATCAGCCCTGTGGGGTCAGTAGAGGTATCCCATTCCACAGCTGAGGGAAGTGAGGCACATTAAGGTGAATCGAACCGCCATCATTCCCATAACCGGAGTGCTGGGAAGCCTTCTGAAGCCGTCTGTCCAAAGCCACAGCCCACTCACATTTTCCATTACGTTGGCTACTGCTGGCTCAACGACTTTCTCTTTTGTGTGTGTCC